TCAGACATTCCTGATATCTATGTCAATACAATTATTGAGTCAAGGAATGCTTATTTCTTTGAGGATATATTTCCATGCAAAAATCCTCTTAAAAGAAATTATGATACTGCTAATAGCAATATACAAGAGAATATAGACCAAGAGTCTATAAATGATGAAAATGAGGAAGAACCTAGACGTAGCAAAAGAGTTAGAACGTTTAAGTCATTCGGTCCTGACTTTCTGACATATATATTGGAGAATGAGCCACAAAGCTACAAGGAAGCTATGTCTTCTCCTGAAGCTAATTTATGGAAAGAAGCCATAAATAGTGAAATTGAATCCATCATGCAAAATCATACTTGGGAGCTGGTGGATCTTCCTCCTGGTACTAAACCTTTAGGGTATAAGTGGATTTTCAAGAGGAAGATGAAGCTTGATGGTTCAATTGAAAAATATAAAGCCCGACTTGTTGCTAAGGGATATAGGCAAAAAGAAGGCCTAGATTATTTTGATACATATTCACCAGTCACAAGAATAACATCCATTAGATTGTTACTAGCTATTGCAGCACTGCAAAACTTAGAAATACATCAAATGGATGTTAAGACTGCCTTCTTAAATTGTGAATTAGAGGAGGAAATCTATATGGAACAACCTGAAGGGTTTATAGTTCCAGGGAAAGAAAAGAAGGTGTGCAAACTTGTAAAATCCTTATATGGATTAAAACAAGCACCTAAACAATGGCATGAAAAATTTGACAAAGTGATGTTGTCAAATGGTTTTAAAATTAATGAGTGTGATAAATGTGTGTATGTGAAAAACACTCAAAATGGATATGTCATTGTGTGCCTATATGTGGATGATATGCTAATAATGGGTAGTAATGATGTTATAATCAAAACTACTAAAAAGATGTTGACCAAAAATTTTGATATGAAAGATTTAGGCATAGTTGATGTCATACTAGGAATTAAGATTTCTAGAACATCAGATGGTCTAGTATTATCTCAATCTCACTATATTGAGAAAATATTAGAAAAGTTTAATAAAGGGGATAGTAGTCTTGTAAAGACTCCTGTTGATGTAAATCTTCATTTATCGAAAAATACTGGTCCTAGCATATCACAACTTGAGTATTCTCGCATTATAGGAAGCTTAATGTATTTGACGAATTGCACACGCCCAGACATAGCATACTCAGTTAATAAATTGAGTAGATATACTAGTAATCCAGGAAAGAACCATTGGACTGCAATAATTAGGGTTCTAAGGTATTTAAAATATACTATAAGTTATGGATTACATTATTCTAGATATCCAGCAGTACTTGAAGGATACAGTGATGCTAATTGGATATCAGATACAAAGGATTCTAAATCCACAAGTGGTTATGTCTTTACTATTGGAGGAGGTGCCATATCTTGGAAATCTTCAAAACAAACTTGTATTACCAGATCCACTATGGAATCTGAATTTATTGCTTTGGATAAAGCAGGTGAAGAAGCTGAGTGGCTTCGTAATTTCTTAGAAGATATTCCAAATTGGCCTAAACCGGTGCCCGCTATATGTATACATTGTGATAGTCAATCAGCAATTGGAAGGGCACAAAATAATATGTACAACGGTAAGTCTCGACATATACGTCGACGACATAATACCGTTAGACAATTGCTCTCAAGTGGGATAATCTCAATAGATTATATCAGGTCAAAAGATAATTTAGCGGATCCGTTTACAAAAGGTTTGACAAGAGAGCAAGTATATAGTTCATCGAGGGGAATGGGATTAAAGCCGAAAGCTAACGAGTCATCTTAATGGAAACCCAACCTAGTTGAATGGAGATCCCAAGATCTAGGTTCAAAGGGACAACAGAAATACTGAATGGCTCACCAGAAGCACTGGGAAGATTCAATTTTCTACCCATTTCTATGATGAGACAGTGTTACCTACAGCGATGAGTAGGATAAGCTATGCTTTTAATGACTCTTATACCTTGAAAATTCAAGTGGGGTATGGTAGGATACTCTTAATAAGAAGTCACCTATATGAGTGTGAAGTGGGGCCGCTTCTATGAGAACTTCTAAGGCTAAGTTTTCTGGAGCGCTCATGAAATACCAGGCGTTGTTCAGGGCCATATGAACACAACCGTGAGAACCGACTTTGTGTGGGAAGGAATTGTGTGTTTGCTATTGTCTTGGTTTACATCAACGGCTGAACAGTTCAAGACATAATGTTCACTGGTTAGCTAGTAAATCCGATAGTAATACACTAGGGAAGGTTCAAGGCCAAAAGCTACCTATCCCGATGCAATAACTTTCCAATAGTACTCTCTATAGTGTCTGTATCTTCTCCTTTTGTAATCTGCGCAAATTTTCATTCATGTGGGGGATTGTTGGAAACGGCATTAGAAAACGCAAACTTTGGAAGGATTTTTAAAAAGATTCCGCTAAGAATTTTTTGCGAATCTATTGATGAACGCGTTCCTCTCTGCGAGGAGATGAACGTGGTATATTTATTTTCTCAAATTCGTTTCCGGGTGAATGAAAAATTGGCTCCAAAGTAAGTGATTTATAAAGCCTAAATGGGTGTGAATAAAGTGGGAAATGCTTGTCCCACATCGAAAAAGTAGCAAAGCAACCTTGAGTATATATATGTTTAGTATGGGATTTGGGTTTGGGCCCAAGGGCACCCAAGTTTTTAAGAGGGGGAGGACCTTGGCTAGCCTGGATCCGAACCAACTACCACACGCGCGCGCCGCCCGCCCGGTCCGGGCTAGGGCGGGGCGGGGCTTGATTGTGAAATGGGTTTAACTTTTTACCCAAAGTTGGAATGGGCCTGTGTGGTTGTAATTTTATTTTGATGCTGGACTTATCAAAATGGGCCTGTTTACTGGGCTGAATTAATGGCCGAGTTGGATTATTTGCTTGCTGGACTGGACGAAATTAAAGGGCTGGGCTGGATCAGAATTTAAAGGATTCAGTTTTAATTTTGAACCAAGAGTTGCACCCTTTACAAATTAAAAAACCACCAATAGTTTTTAATTCTGATTGGTCAACAATGGTTGCACCCATTCGGATTATGGGTGCACCCATTCAGAATAGGCACCAACAAGCCTATAAATACCCATCATTGGGTTCATTTCAATACACACCAAGTTCAGAAATCTTCTTCTCTTCTTCTGAATTTCTTCTTCTAATTCTTCTTTGTTCGGTTCAGCCACTGGTTTGGGTTCAACCTAAACTGGTTTGGATTGGGTTCGAACCTTGGTTTCCAAGTTTCGGTTCAATCTTGGTTTCCAAGTTTCGGTTCAATCTTGGTCTCCGAGTTAGGGTTCAATCCTGGTCTCCGAGTCTGAGTTCAACAGAGAGTACTACACCGAGCCGGTTCGCCTATTCCATTGGTTTGAAGTGCTACTACCAAAGGAAGAAAAGTCGTTGTATCCTGGGAGATAGACGCCGAAGAGTCCGTTAGCACCGTAGCGGGGCGTATCTGTCTTAAGGCTATAGAATTAAATTCTAGCCTCGACTTTATCAGGTTCTTTTATAGTTTTATTTTCTTGATATTAAACTATATAAATATATATATAGATTATTATAATAAATATTATATTTACAAATAATATTTAAATAAATTGTACTATAGTATATGATACATAAGTTTTCAACAAAAATCACCCCTAAAATATACATAAACCATGTATATATATAGGCAACATACAGATAAGGAAAAGGAAACAATAAATCATTCTCAATTTTTAATTCACATATCTCAAATCTAATATGATTCCAATATCAAGTTGGGCTATGAGTGAGAATCCTTTGGGCCTATTATTTTATTGGCTACAATGAATTAATAATTGGCCCGGTCCATAAACCCAATTCAATTAATTCATAAATTAATTTCTACTCCACTAAAAGAAATTAATTGAACTCCAATTAAATAATAAATAACCTCTAAGTCAATATTGCACTTTGACCCCTCTATGCATAATTAGTTATCAGATAAATAAAGCCATCAATCCGACTACTTAATTAATATATTTATTTTGGTACCTTCGATTATTTCTGACTCGATCACAATAAAACATTTGTTTGACAAAAAATAATAATTTAAATAAATAAATATATAATAAATCATTTTGTCTAAAAACACACAAAGGCCTTCGAATTTACTTTGTGATCAATCATAATCAATACAAAATAAATACAAGTAGTAATGATGCAAATATTGAAAATATAACCCTCTAACTATTAATTACATAACTACCCAAAGTGTCGGTCTAAGGATCCCGAAGAATCCGCCGAACAAATCAAAGTAATTATTAATTAATAAAAGAGTCTATAATTTTCTCATGCTTAAGAGTCAAATGCCATGATGGTGATAAGGAGCAATTGCATATAACAGCTCTCGCAATATATCTCAACTTAACGCGGATCCAGTTCAAATCTTAATTAATTATGAGTCCATCCATAATTACCGACTATAAACCATTTATGATTACTATTTATATATCATGCGTTGATTGCCATCACATACATATATATAAATATCTCTTATAATCAAATGGACACTATCAATTCTATAATAAATCGAAATATAATACATTGAATTCACCAATTGTATAAAATATAAATATTTCAGAAACGTCCGAAACATATGTCACTTTAATCCAAACAGGAATTTGTTATGTCAGGGAATATAAATCCCAACAGCCCCAACTTTGTATTAGCATAGTAGTAATTTACAAAATTAATTCTTTAAAAGTATGTTTATAATATTTTATTAAAATTTATATTAAATTTTTAGAAATTTTTAATATAAAATTAACTCAAAATTAAATCAATTTTTACTGTGATTTCATAAAAGTAATCTACTATAAAACTAACTCTAGATTAACTTAATTTTTTAATGTAATTTCTTTAACTTGAGCTCTCCTCAAAAGGTAAAACTCTGAACGCGCATTTCTCTAATTATAGTGTGTGCAAGATCCTTTATGTACCAACCCAACCCAACCAAAACAGGACTTAGATTAGCTCTTTCTAACCAAAACTTCAAACGGCCTTGAATAAGACTGCTCACGTTTGGGTTAAGATTCACACTTGAATCCATATTGTTCATTTCGTATCCGACTTCATATGAAAAGAAGCTAATAATATTAATGAAATACCAATAACTCAAATGAATGAGGTTCACAAAGCTTTTATTGATTCAAATATCAAACACCGCCAATAGCTACATCCACCAAGCCAATGGACTTGACTATGCCATATATGGCCGCCTCATCCAATACTGCACCGACCACCGCCTCGTCCGCCAAGCCAAGCAGCTTCACGCCCGTCTCGTACTCTCCTCCGTCGTCCTCGACAACTTCCTCGCTTCAAAGCTCATTAATTTTTACTCCAAGTCCAATCACCTCCGAGAAGCCCACAAAGTGTTCGATGAAATTCCTCAGAAGAACACATTCTCTTGGAACGCTATGCTCTTTGGGTACTCGCGTCACAACATGCACATGGAAACACTTGAGCTCTTCTCGTCTTTCCTCTCTTCATCATCGTCTGCAAAACCGGATAATTTTACAATTACTTGTGTGTTAAAGGCATTGTCGTCTTTGTTTCCGAACTCAAATTTGGCGAAAATGGTTCATGGTTTTGTTATTCAAAGTGGGTTTGATTCAGATATCTTTGTTTTGAATGCTATGATTACATACTATTCGAGAAGTGATGATATTGCTGCGGCGAGAACTTTGTTTGATACGATGACTGAAAGAGATCTTGTGTCCTGGAATTCGATGGTTGCAGGGTATTCTCAAGGAGGGTTTTATGAAGATTGCAAGAAATTGTACAAGGAAATGTTGGGTGTTGAAAATGTAAGACCTAATGAGGTTACAGTACTTAGTGTTCTACAGGCCTGCGCTCAGTCGAATGATCTTATTTTTGGGATGGAAGTTCATCGGTGTGTAATCGAGAATGAAATTGAAATGGATCTTTTGGTTTGCAACTCATTTATTTCATTGTATGCGAAATGTGGTAGCTTGGATTATGCTAGAGAACTTTTTGAAGGTATGAGTGAAAAGGATGAAATTACCTATGGTGCGATTATTTCTGGGTACATGGTTCATGGATTTGTTGGGAAAGCTATGCGTCTTTTTGGAGAAATGAAAAAACCAGGATTGAGTACGTGGAATGCTGTCATTTCAGGATTGGCGCAGAACAACTGGCATGTGGGAATTCTAGACTTAGTTAGAGAAATGCAGGTGACTGGATTTAGGCCGAATACCGTGACACTTTCAAGCTTTCTTCCTACAGTTTCATATTTTTCAAATCTAAAAGGAGGGAAAGAAGTACATGCATATGCAGTCAGAAACAATTTGGATAAGAATATCTATGTGGCAACTGCCATTATTGATGCTTATGCCAAACTGGGCTTTCTTCTTGGCGCACAAAGGGTTTTTGATCAATCAAGGGATAGGAGTGTGATTCTTTGGACGGCAATAATATCAGCATATGCAGCCCATGGAGATGCTAATGCGGCACTTAATCTATTTGATAACATGCTGAGTAATGGGACTCAGCCAGACCCTGTGACATTCACGGCAGTATTGTCGGCTTGTGCTCATTCTGGAGTGGTAGACGACGCTTGGAAGATCTTTAATGCCATGCTTCCGAAATATGGTATTCATCCCTTGGTTGAGCATTATGCTTGCATGGTAGGGGTTCTAACCCGAGCTGGGAAGCTATCTGAAGCAGTGGAATTCATTTCTAGAATGCCAATTGAACCAAGTGCCAAGGTTTGGGGAGCATTGCTTAACGGGGCTTCAGTTTCTAGGGATGTTGAACTGGGGAAGTTTGCTTGTGATCGTTTGTTCGAGATTGAGCCTGAAAATACAGGAAATTATATCATCATGGCAAACTTATTTTCACAAGCTGGGAGATGGGAAGAAGCTGAACGTGTGAGGGAAAAAATGAAGAATATTGGGTTGAAGAAGATCCCTGGTAGTAGCTGGATTCAAACTGGTGGAGGGTTACAGAGTTTTATAGCCAAAGATGTTTCAAATGTAAGAACTGAAGAAATTTATGGGATGTTAGACAGATTGCTGGAGTTGATGAGAGAAGAGGGTTATCTTTTGGTGGATGAATTTGATGAGGAAAGTGTTTGTAATTGAGCATCAAATCATTAACTAATGAAATTATTGCAAGTAATGAATAGTCTTGGGGTTTTAATCTACGTAATATGCATACAGGACCTCAATAATTTACATTGATGTCTGGATATTCAGAAGCACCAGGCCTGTGAATTTTTGTACATAAATAGTGCAAAAAATCCAGGAGATGATAGTAATAAATACCAGAGTAATTGGTTTGGTGGATCCTGTTACCCAAGAGTCATAACTTCAAAATCATGTTCATGAGCCGCCCAGGCGCTACTGAAGCTCCAAACAAGAGCCAGAACCTAGACATCCATAACTATGCCATTTGCTAAAGGAGAAGGAAGTCTTGAGACTCTTTCTTGACTAGGATATTTTTCACACCTCCACCTCATGAATTTCGAGTCCAGTGTGATTGATTCCTTCAATGCCAGTGAGTGAGCAGTTCGTCTTCCAATTTGCCAAATCACTCTGAATTTGCTTCATCAAGTCCTTCATCAGGGGTTTCCATCAACTTGCATACAGGTGACGTTTGTATGAAATTATAGCAAGTTTTTTATTATTTCTAATGAGATATTGTCCTTATAATATCTTTTTTGATCCAAAGTATTTATAAACAACTTCTAAGCAAGTGCATTAAGCAGTACACTAACAGATTTAGCTATTAAATTACTCTTGAAACAGAAAAAGACTCAAGAGGAACAGATTTACACACAGGCTTTTGGCTTTCTAATTTTTTTTTTATCTACTGTTCTCCTGGAATATCTTTACTTGCAGTTTAAGGCTTCCAAGCATTCTTGACGATTTGGATCCCCCAAAATATCATTATGTCTCTCCTTTAAATGACATTATGTCTTCATTGCACACACATGTCCCTAAGCATGATTCATCTTACCCAGATTTCATGAAATATTGATGATTGAAATTTCTTGAGTGGAAGGATTTCTAATGAATGGATTTCCGTTTTACTATTTAAGAAGTAGAGTTTAAATTTAGATTTAAGTTTTAACGACACGCACGAATTGATTTCAGAACATTGCATTTGTAGATCCATTGATATCCCACTTGATTAGGTTTATCTAATGAACTGTAAAAATGCATTAATGACAACATCTCAAAAAGCAGAACCACACACCACCCTAATCTCACCTGCTGGTGTCATGAGTGAATCAGATCTATTGATATCCACTTGATTAGAAGCAGTTTTATTTTTCATTATATCCCTTTAATTTTCTTTTAGTAAGTAAATTTACTCACACACATTGCTGCCACTGGACCCTTAACTACTCTTTTGAAGAGAACATGCCTCTCAAACCAAGGGCTTTGATAGTCTATACACATTTTCTCAATTTTTCTTATATTGAACTTTTATACAAAGAGTGGGCCTTAGCGCAACGGTAAGTTGCTCCATTGTGAGATGTAAGACTGCATACATGACCCTCTTCAGACCTTGCAATGACGGAAGTCTCGTGCACTGGGCTATCCCTTTATTGTATTTAGATATTGTTCTTTGGCAACCATGTCAACAATGACAGCCCATAAAAATATTCATACAAGTATAATATTCATTAGGCCATTGTGAAATGGTCATTTCGTTCATTTGACCATTTTAGGATCACATTCACCACTGAGCCCAAAGTCCAAAGAGGATGACTCAGAGATGAAGCCGGAAAATGTAAGTGAGTAGGGTGACAAAAAGCCCTTGATAGTCGCTGGCTTTGGAGGGCCAAAGTTGCATTAATAATGTAGTTTTGTAGGGACAACTTAATATGGAGAGTCCATGGATGGGCCAATTGGAATGGTTGTGTTTTCTCTTCTTCTACTTGTTCTTTTCGTCTTTATTAAACACAACATAAAAACAGAGATATTGAAAAGTAAACGAGTGCCTAACTGGACATGTACTTGTGGACAAAAACCCAACATTCCTAGCCACTCCCTTCCATTCTACTCCACCGCCTCACTTTCCCAAGGTTTCACACACTGCCACCTATCTAATATTGTAACCTCATGCATTATTATGATAAGTTAGCATTGTTTTTATTTTCATGCCATTGAGTTTTCACATAATACCATATGGGTTCTTGATGGCAAAGGACTAAATTGGGTTTTTCCACTATCAATAATGGCATGCAAGTCCTATTTACTCTTTAGAAGGATAGAAATTTTCAGGAGTGATTTTCATTCATGTTTTTTTTTTTTTTTTGGTTCATAACTTTGCAAAATTTGTGCATTTATCTAACTTTGCGATCGCAAGGATTTTGTAGACTGATTCACTAAATTTCATTTATTTGTGCTAGTGGGCTCCTCTATTGATGTATAATATTTTTCCTAGACTCTCAACCTCCTGGGTAGAAATTATACCATCTAATTTTTTACCCATTGATAAATGTTCAATTTACTTGGTGTGTACTAATATAAGGGTACTTCTTACTGTTTAAAAAATGGCATTGGATGCCGGATTGAGTCAACCAAATTCTCTTGAAAAAGCCCACATGTCCCCAAGCTTTTCCCCACACTGAATCCTCATAGCACACGATCCCATAATGGAAGAAGTCTCAAACTCCACAGAATCCACAATCATGACTGCACTCTCCACCTTAACTCCTCCCCAACTCTCCGATCTGACCCACTCCATTTCCTCTCTCCTCCGCCACCACCGCCGCCGTCTCTCCTCCCTCCTGTCCTCCCCCACCCTCTTCTCCCTCACCCTCCATCACCTCCACTCCCTCTCCCTCCACCACAAGTCCCTCCTCATCGCCCGCCACCTCTTCTCCACCCTCACCCACCTCACCCAAATATCCACCACCAAAATCACCCTTCCACCGCTCACCGCCACCACACTCCGTGACCTCGACGCTGCCCTTCTCCTCCTCCTCCTCTGTGAACTCCGCCAACATGACCCTGAAGCCCTCGAAGTATCTCCAACTAAGTGGCGCCAAATTCTTTGCCACTATTGCTCTAATACCATGTTAACACTATCTGGTCTTGGAGTTTCAGATGGTGAAGTTTTGTTTGAGTATGTTGAGGTGGTGGCAAAGTGTAAGAGGTTTGTTGGTGTAATGGGTGGTGGAGGGAAGGAGGGGAGAGAATTGGCAGCGTCGGTGGCGGCAGTGGTGGCGTTGGCGGCTGTTGAGGTGAGTGGGGCTGGGAGAGAGTGCGTGATATGCAAGGAGGAAATGAGAGAAGGGAGAGATGTGTGTGAATTGCCATGTGAGCATTTGTTTCATTGGATGTGCATATTGCCTTGGCTGAGGAAGAGGAACACGTGTCCTTGTTGCCGGTATCGGCTTCCGACCGACGACGTGTTCGTCGAGATCGAACGGCTGTGGGAGGTGGTGGTCAAGATGGGAGGTGGTCGTCACATGTATGGAGGATGTACGTGATTATTTGATGATCTAGTGTGATGCACCCTATGCAATCTATCATACACTACATGTTCCATGATGAGATGGGCCACAGATGTTGATTCTTGATCATGATCCAAGTCCTCAAGTGTGACATCTGAGTAAAAATATAGCGTCAATCACAGATTTGTTCGACTTTGACCCATCTTAATCTTAATGGTCTAACCATATTTGATCATGGCCTAGCTACCAGTGATTCTTTGGGCGTGAAATGAACGGCTTTGATAGTGATTGTGGTCCTTGTGAGAGCTTCACAGCATTCACTCATTGTTGATAATGATTATTAGTTATATGTTTTGTTGGCTGTTTCGTGTGGTTTAAGTTCAGTGGCTTGGAGAGGGACAAAACAGATATTTTGGGAGCTTGCCAATTGACACCAGAAATATTACACATATGAAAGGCTGTGTAATGTCTTTCTCACATTTATGTAATACCTAGCTGTACATAAATTAATGGGATTGTATTCTGTTATTTTCTTTTTAATTGATAATCAATTAATTAGAATATTTGAACCCTTATCACCACCCCTCTATTAAAAGTTCCACGACATCATTTAATTATATTATTTTGCTTTAACTACTATGGCATAACAAGTACATGGTGTTTGCATTATTTTAGTAACTTTGATATATTTTACATGTGAAAAGGGGAAATTGTTTAATACAATTACAAAATATTAAACCGACAAGCGAGGACAAGAGTTATTATAATATAAGGGCAGCAGCACTCGTTACTTTTTCTTTTCTTTTTTTTTAAGGGAAGTTTACAAGCAATGCTTAATGTTGTAACATAAAAGGGTCAATAAGGTCAAGTGAGGCTTAATTTTATAATAAAAAACTATAAATTTGACAATCGAAATTGATTGACGGTGGCAATTGAGATGAACACTTAGTAGAGATTTTATTTTTTTTAAATACTGACAGGAGATTTTGTTGTTGTTTATCTATTGAAATTGTTACAAAAACCGATTGCATTACTCTTTCATAATACATATTATGGCTCTTAGACATTTTCTATCAGGGGTACCAACCAGAAGTTTTTAGTTTGTAAAGTAGTTTAGAAAAAAAAAAAAATTAATAATAATAATAATTATTATGGAACTTACGGTGTTCATGCCTGTGTTAAAATTGGGCCGATGCCATATTTTAAGCCCACTCTGAAACTAGATTTAGGACCTACCATAAAATTGGCCCAATTTCCTTCTGGAAGGACCCTCCAAGTCCATGTGTCCCTAACTAACATGTGGGTGGTCGATAGTCCACACTAGCATCACTTTGAATCCATTCCCAAGTTTTGGACGCATCAAAACCTGCCCTATCGTCAGGCTATAGCCCAATGGGCTTTTCTCCAGATATTGCATCACCTTTAGATATGAACTTAAAGTGTACTATTAGCCCAGATAAACTTTTCTAAAGTAAAACATAAAAATTGAGGTTTTTTTTATTTTATTTTTATAAATATATTATATATACAGAGTATATATTTTTTCAATTTCTTCTTTTTAGTTTTAAAATTTTATTTTTGTAGTCTTTCACTAATGCTCCATTTGATAAAAATGAAAGAAGAGGAGTAGAGTAGAGAAGAGAAAAGAGAATGTATCAATCCTCTATCATTCTTAACAAATTTTCGTCTCTCCAAATATAGCGGGAAGACACGAAGGAGAAAAACAATGCTATTATAAATATTTTTAAATCATAAAACTTTCGTTATAATTAGCATTTTCTCTTCTTTTCTCTATTAATAAACAAAATTAGGTATTATCTCATTTAACCTTTCTTCTCTTTTTTCTACCCTACTAAACGGAGCATAAATGATACAGTATATATCTCTATATCTATCTCTAAGTACGGAAGTATAAGGAATTATAGAAACGTGACAATAAGGACTCCAACCATTACAAATTTGGAGAGAATAAGAGGCGCAAGGAATAGTGTGACATGCAACAAAACCTAGCCCCACCAAGCACTAGTGGTCCTATAAAGACACGTTGTTTGAATTCCAATGATAATGAGTGTGTTTGAAGCCACTTTTTGCATTTTTTTCATCAAAGAAGGTTAGTAATGTAGACAGAATCAAATAAACAATTTATTAGCGGATTACTTTGAGTATAATCCAAATCTGTATTGAATACCTAATAATTATTAAGCACACCCCAGAGGTAACAACTTAAAGTAAATTATTTGCACTTGTCTCCATACTTTAATGGGTAAATTTTAGGTTGACAGGTTTCGAGTAAATCTATTAATTTAATTTTTAATACTTTTTGTTTTGTAAAAATATATATATATATATATTTTTAGACTATTCAAAACTCGAAACCCTCTCATTCTCTTTGATTATATATATATATATATGAATTTGTTTGTTGGTCCAGTTACTTATTTATTGTTAGAAGGTAGATAGTCTCTTAATTAATGTAGAATTATACATATAATCAAAGTAAGTGAAACCCATTGAATATATTTAATTGTACACATTACTGAATCGAAGAAGAAGAAGGACCCTTTATTTTGTTTCACATATTAAAAAAATGAATCAACCAAACTGGTTATTTTGTCATTTACTGTCGGGGTACGACTACATGAGCAAGGTGAGGCGAGGGTAGTGCGGACAATTCAGGAACATCACGTGACATACACAGCCAAAAAAAAAACCTGCATCATCCCGATTCCTTCATGTCGTTTGAATTTCAAATATATACTCATAAACGCTCCTGAAGCTCTGTAAAACTCAGATAAACAGTGAATACGGTAAATTTATACCTTGTCGTATTTAATTGTTGTTGAAATAAATGTCACCCATATTTATATATGTCACTTCTTCTCATCCTAAAAAATTATTACATGATGCTAGTTAATGGTACTGTCACACAAATAAATGTATAAATTTTATTATTATTATTTGTATGGTGAGATCATGTAGCCCGGACAACATAAAAATAAAAAAAAATTTAACTAAAATTTTTACATCTGATCAAGTGAAAAATACGATCAATATCTTCTTTTGTACCCCTAAAATAATTTTTTTAATGCCTAGTCAATAACTCTAAATTAATAATGCAATAATTTTAAATCAATAAAATAATAATAAATTTTTAATTTAATGATATTATAACGTTTTATATAAATGTGTTGCATATTATAATGAGAAGTGATAGGAGAATCCAAAGGCATCTCCTGAATTAATTACCGAACCTGATGTAATTTGGCCACGTCATATTCTCACCCTTTTTACCTGAGGGAGCAAAAGAGTCAATCATGTGTAAAATAAAATAAAAAATAAAAAGGTGGGAAGGTGATCATGAAAAAATAATACCGGAAAGTTCAGTAGTCTCCAAAACTTATCTTTATCCCTTTTTTTTTTTTTTTTTTTTTTTTTTTTTAAGGAATCAACTTATTAGAATTTTTTTTTTCATAATTGATATATTTTAGAATTTACACTGATTAGATATATCAAATTAAATCACTGTACCGATTGAATTGCTGCTGGAGAAGAAAACTTATTCAAAACCCTAGATAGAGAGAGAGCCAATCCCGAATCAAATAGTAATGTTATGAATACTCTAATTTTTGTGCGTGATTCGAATACAAGATGATCTTGTAATTTTTAAAATCAAATCATTGAGGAATGCCTAAATCTATTGAGAAATTTATAAAAAGAAATCTTTGAATATTTATGATCTATACTAACATATATGTAATTGTGTGTATATATGTTTCTTTTTGTGTATACCTACCTTCTTCCAATCATCTTCACAGTATTAATCACTACATTACCTTCTCAAACAATTTTTTTTTTTTTTTTTTCAATTTATTTTAGGATGAACTAAGCACGTGATAGCTTCTTCTTTTTTTTTTTCAATTTATTTTAGGGTGAACTAAGCACGTGATGGCTTTTTTACTCTTCACGTTTAAAAAATCTGACGTGCCAACCACGTTAGATTCGATCAGTTATTCGGGATTATCCTTCAACCCCCTTATCATTTTCCTATTATATATATATATATATATATTTAATTAATGATAGACAACGCGAAAGATAATTAAAAAAAAAAAGTCCCATCTTACATGGTATAAATGAAAAAAAAAAAATAAATAAAAAAATTGGTGTTTTCTCTTTCCCCTCACAATCAAATAACTAAAAGTCTAAAAACCCACCAAAATTGAATACATGCAACACTTCTCCTCAAGCGTCACCTTTTATAAAATTACCCTCGGACCCCTACTTTTTAGAGGTAAAATTACTCTGGACTTCTACTTTTTCTCTAAAAGACAAATACATATAAATTTTAGAACAATAAATATTTGACTTTAAGAAGATGAATAAATTAGGGAAAGTTAGATGTTGGTGGCTAAACGTAGACAAAATTGTTAAAAAGTGACCTTGAAGTCAAGAAAATCTGATTAGTGACCATTTTTAAAACTTAATTGTTAATAAGTGACCATTTGAGGACAATTTGGTAAAAAATACTTGTTCATAAAATATTCTAAAAATAAAATTTAGATGACAAAATTATGGATTCATTCTCCTCTCTTTTTCTTGTTCTATTTTTCCCTTTTTAGTTTGCAAATTACCAATTAAAAAATTAGAATTTCTTTAATAACTTTTTCTATAATATGTATATATCTTAAATTTAGAATTTCTTTATTAACTTTTTTTTTTTTTTTTCTTTTTCACGACTCTCCGCCATGATCAAAAAACATGTTGAGCACAAAACTAAGAATATTATATCCATAATTATAATTTATTTGGATTTATATAATTTCAAGTTTGATCGAATTATATATACATATACATATACATCTTGTTCACATAATAAAAGATTAAAAATCACAACACCATTCAAATACACCTCCATTTCCTTCCCTCTTCATCTTATCCTCTGATTGTCGGACAACAAAAGTGTTTAATGTTAAGAATAAATTTGTTCAATTATATATATATATATAATACAATAAGGATATTTATGTAATAAATCATTAAACGGTCACTTATTAGCTATTAAGTTTGAAAATTGGTGAGTATTTCTCTTTTCTCAACTTTAAGGTCACTTTATAACAATTTTGTTTAGGTTTGATCACCAAATTATAATTTTCTAAATAAATTATAGGTTAAAAATTCTTTAATATAAATTTTAAAACAATAAATATTTGATTTGAATTTTTACTCTGTAAATTTAAATTTATGGAACACGAAACAAGTAATTTTTTATTTGTGATTATTTTCTTTTACTCTCTCTCTCTGTCTAATTTTGGAGAATTTTTTTGTTACCTATTTGGAAGGAGAAAGAGAAACCACTATATATATAATATTTTGTCTTTCCTTTTTTTCTTTTTCACTACTGTGTTAGAGAGGATTTTTTAAAAATTTTGACGTAACTTTGACAAATCAAATTCTAATAGTTTTCGAGTTTTCTTTTTCGTTTTGCCTATCTTTACTCCTCTCTCTCTCTCTTACTATATTGTTGTCACATGGGTTGGGGTGTGGATCGGTGAAGGGCAGAGGGAAATAAAAGTGTGTATATATTGCTTTCAGTGTGTATCTATATACGGGGCAAGAGCTCAGAGCCTCAGACCTTGGTTTTCTAAAAGTGGTGTTGGCATCTTTGTTTTTGCATTAACAAAAGTTCTCCCCAATAAAATATACATTGACATTTCTTAGTTCTTGTAAATCTCTCTCTATTTTTTTCTGCATTGTTCAAGGTCTGATCTAAATCTAATCAATGGCAGATGATGAGAGGTGGGTCTTTCAGTTTCTATAGATTTTAGTTGAATCTGGGTACTGTAGATATAGATCAACAAATTGCAAGAACAACTCCGGCCTGTTTCCGTGAAACGGAAAACAAGAAGAAGATGATGAGTGGTGTCAATGCAGATGTAAAAGTAAAACTGAGGTGGGTTTTCACTAATTTCACTATCCCCATCTCTTTCTCTCTCTATATATATACATATGTATGTGTGTATTTGCAATTTTTTTTCAAATCTATGAAATGGGTTTTTCTTCTTTCAGTGAGAAGAAGATGGAAGGAGACGATGCTCTGAGGACTGTGGAGTGTTTAAGAGGAAGATTGCAAGCAGAGAGAGTGGCTTCACGCCTTGCCAATGACAAAACTGAGCAATTGGGAAAGAAGGTGCGTGTGTGTGACTGTGTGTTGTTTGGTGTATAATCACATAGGCATTCATCAATTGTTTCCCATTTTTTCTTCTGATTAGACTGATTTTACTGCTACTATTATCTACAATTGCAAATTGCCATTTATTACTCCATCTCTCTCTAAATTACAGCTGATAGAGCTAGAGAACCAATTGAGGATAGAAATCAAATCAAGAAACAAAGCTGAGAAGAAGCTGAAATTCCTAATGAAGAAGCTCAATTCCTTGAACATATCATATGTTTCAGAAGAGTCTGAGCATTCAAGCATGTTTGAGAGGAGTGACATGTCCTCTGTATCATCCACAGCCTCTTCAAGTACCAAAGAACCCAAAACCCAAATCACAAGCCCTACAAAATGTGATAATGTTGGCACAATTGAGAAGCCAAATTGCCCGATGGTCTCAAATTTGAAGCACTCTGAAGAGAGTCTCAGTTCTTCTGCAAGTGAACCCAATTCTGACAAGTACAGTAAGCTTGAATCAAGTCGAAAGTACGATGATTCGAAGAGAGATGATCAAAGGTATGTGACCAATCTTTCATTTAGATTTAGTTTTTGTAATACACGTATAAGATGTTTTGCATATACATTATGTAACACAATCTACTCTTACACCCTTTCATGATTTATGGTTGGATTCATTTTTTGGTAATTCAATCCTTAGAATGAATGTTTTTTTTATGGTTATGTATATATGTTAGGGAATTTTATAAACTTTATTACACAATATAGAACATAATAAACCAAGAATTTATCATTTAATAAAAAAGACATTTAGTGATTGAATTTTACAACATGAACATGAGCTTAAAAGTTACAATTAGCAAAATTTGTACAGGAACAATGGAAAGAACAATAGAATAAATAATAAAAGAAAATTTCCCCAACAATGCATGTGTGGAATTCAAATGAATTGGAGATTTAGGTGTGTCTCTAATCAACATCACACATACCTGTGTTTTTCAATATTGAATTTCAAAATAGAGTTTTATTCTAAAGTGAAATGAATTAGATACTTGCTTTGAGCTGATTTGAGTTCAATTTTTTTTGCATAACAAGTACATGATTGAACAACTGATTTGACAAAAGATGAATAAAAGTAACTATTGTAACACCATGTGCAAGTTGGTCCTACAATCCTACCTCATGGTTGTATGCATGTGTGTGTGTGTTTATGCCTGTAAAATTCATGTGGGGTTTCTTAAATCTAGTTAGGAGTCAAATATTGATCATAGTCTGTTGACTCTGTTTCAATTTCTGTAGCTTCGAATCTTCCATCGAAGAGAAGGAGATTAATGGTGAAAATGATGGCGATCAAAACAGCTGCGTGGATAACTCACTGGCAATAGTCCCGTATGATTTGCCTATAGAATCGTCCCGGAGCATTGAACCAGAGTCACCTATTGTTAATGCTAGTGTTAAAGATGTTCTTGATGCTCTAAGGCATGCTAGAGAAAAGATTCAAAGTTCAATGCAGAGAAGACATATGATTAAAGTTGGCTGAAGAAAACAAAAAATTCTGGTTTAGTATTTATACAGTTGGAGATAATGTAACATAAGGGGTACATATAGTATTTCATATCCTTGTTTGTTTTGCATACAGAGGCGGGGAGGGTGGTTTTTGTGTACAAGTAGTTGAGTTGATTATGAATTTATCTATCTTATGCTTTTTCCTTAATCTAGAAATTCATTTCGGACAATTGAACCTTGTTTCCAGTGGTGAGTAACGCGATTTTAACAGCCGAAACAGTAACAACACGATTTTCCAATCTAAATCAAGCAGGTTTTATCTTATATTTTGACCTTAATTCCAACTTCAAACCACAGGTTCCTATCTGTAATCTGTTCACAAGATTTGAGCTTGATGTTCATTGTGGAAATTGCACAAGTTCTAGGTTGTCATTCTGTTCATGACTTGCATTTTCAAATTCCATCCTAGCTCATAATTTGGAATGATATATACTTGCATTTCTATTTATTTATTTATTTATTATTATTATTATTATTTTTTCCTGACAACAAAAGAACAAAGAACTAAGAAACAGAAGAAGAAAGAAAAGAAGATTCAGCCTCAAGGGCTGAGACAAGCCCGCTGGGCCACACAGGCCGATGAAGGTCACCCTTTCTGGAGCGCAAAGCCCATTTGCTAATTTTATGGGCTATGGTGTTGCAACTCCTTGGGGTCCAAGATAAGGAGAGGTTGAGAGATGGTTGCCTAAGGCCCCGTTTGGTAGGCAATTTGTTTTTGCTGTTTTTGTTTGTGAGCTGGTACATTTTCACAACAAAGGCATGTTTGGTGCGACCTTGTTTTATTTTATACAATATTAAAACACTTTGTCCAAAATACAAAAAAATTATTTTTTCTTGTTTTGACAATTGTTTATGGGCCAAAACCATAACAGTAGCATAACACTAGCTAAAACCAAAACGTCTAAAACATGCTTTTTCAAACATGCTTCCGATTTCTTTCCAACTGTTTTAGTAAAAAAACAAAGCGCATGACAAACTACCCTAACATAATATCAAATTTAATTATGTAAGAGAACTATAGACAAAATCAAAATTAATTAGGTAAGAGAACTATAGAAAATATCGTTTTTTCCATTTAAGAGTACAATAATTGAAAACAAGTACAAAATTTTCAAACTAGGAGGCTGTCGATTTCCGACCCAATTGCTTGATTAATAATTATCTAATTAATTAATAATTATGATGAAAGTCCATAGGTGAGTTTGTGCCTTCAAATGTTACTTCATAAACCTATTCGTTGTGGCATTTTTATTTTTAGAAAGAGTAATGGTCTCAAGAGAGCTTTCTCACCATAAATTTTCCATTTTAACAAAGGGGAATTGGAAGATCCCTTACTGTAAATTATCCATTTTAACTAACGAAAATAGACAACAAATGAAAAAAGAAGCAAGGAGCAAAAGGATGAGATTTGCCCTTACAACTACAACCACACCTTCAATGATTTTACCAAGGTCCAGCACATCGATCTAAAAAATAAAATGGTTAAATACGAACTATAAATTTCCAAAGTCAGACAAATTTTATAAAAAAAATGCATACGTCAGGAATATTAATGATATCGCCGCCGTTCACATCAATAGACTTTAAGCTCCAAATCATAATCCATACTTAACAATGAATATCAAAAGAGTATTGATAAGAAATCTGACTAATTTAATGCGAATAGAGACTAACATTAATGACATTGCCTCCACTCACATAAATCAGTCAGAGTTGTCCAACATTTGAACTCCAAATCATTATCCATATTATTATAGAATCTTGTCAGGGTGGTAACAAACCCTGGGTGACTCTTATGATGGTGTGCACCTTCCATTTCAGCTTTCAGTAATCTCATCACCAAGTATGAATAACAAAACATCACACAAACTATTTGATTTTCCACCAAGATATATACTACAATACACTTGATATATATATATATATAACAATAAAAATATAACCCCCAATCGACTTCAGTACTTACAAATTGAGAAAGAAAATTCGTTCAGTTGCAACAACAAAACTACAAATCCTGTTATCAAACATCCTCCATAGTTTCTGCATAGCCAACTACTCTGGTGGCACAATTCATAAAGTGAGACCAACATAATCAACAAACAACCTTCCAAGTGTCAATTTAATTCAAATAACAAACTGAGAATAACAGAAATTCTGGAATTATAGACCTGGAAAAATATTATATATTTGAATGCTAATCTTCTCAAGGACAAATTGCAAGTTCCACTTTTCCAGAATTCTACCTGACAGCTTTTACCATAAATTTGATTTCACCCTCTCTGTAATAACTATCACAGTCAAGTTGGAAAACAGCAATATGTAATAACACATGTACATATTTCCAATGACATTCGAAAGCAACATTCAGAAAGAACACACAATTTTAACATCAACTGATCAACGATATCTAGTGACAAAAATATGTGCCACCCCCTCTTGCGAATGGCACACAAAAGTGAAACCCACAAAACCCCCCAAAAGATATGTACGTCTATCCAAAAGAGAGATCTAAATGCAAAGATGCTTTGTGCAAGAAATCTCATGACTGACCTTGGAGGCTTTCAATTATAGAGTCAGGAAGCATAATAGTGAAGATTTGCTTCATATGTCAATTTTCAAATAAACCAATGGTTGCTCGTTCCAATAAAAGACCATGATTTGAACATTACACAATAATCTAAAGGTACCAAATGTAATTCAATCACAGCAGGCATTATTAAGTAATTTCAATTAACAAAGGGATTCTTCTACAAGAGTGGCGCAAAATTTTATACGAAGTAAAAAGACATCAACCATTTACAGTCCGCCTAAGCAGCATGCTGAGAAGGGTGAATTAGAGCCAAACCCAACATTTTTTGCATTATTTTGCACAAAGATGACTGTTCTTACACTCAAGCCTATGTTTGACTGGGGTTTTACAATTACACCAAGCAATGGCAACAGTTCTACATGAAGTAATACCACAATTTTGACACTAGATATCTTGGATCCTTGGATCAGATTATAATGAACTCACTGCATTCAACTTATCACTGCTGACCTCAACTGAAATTTAAGGAACTAGGCATCACCTACAATAGACTACACATAGATTTAAGATGCTGGCCATGTCAATTAGAGAAAATTGGTGGTAAAATCCTTAAATAAAACCAAGTTAAAGTAGGTAGTTTCAAGATGATCCTTTTATTATTTATTATAGTTATTATTAGAAACTCAGCAAGCAGAATATTTTCCCAGGCTAAAATTTCAGTATTTTTTATATTCTCAGTAGGTCATTTCAAATAAGTTTACGCTAAGGAGGTTTTCGTTGATTATCCTAGGCCTCACCAGGGAAAACTGCATCAACTGCGCCTATGATGGGAGCAAGGTTCTTTGTTCACCCTAAATCTTGTGCTGCACCTCACAGGAAGGAATCAAATAATGGAAGAGTCCGCATTCAGGCATCACGTATTTTTTTTAAGGGAAAAAAAAAAGGCATAAAGCCACTTGGGGAGTCGCAAAATGTTAGAACTCTAAACCTGCCAAAGCGAGACAAATAATTAATTATGACAGCTCATAAATGGGACTAATTCATTATATGAAAAGAGAGACTATCAAGGCGAATCACATCTTTGAGTGAATCTTACTGTAAATAGAAGAATTGGGAGAACAATCAAGCCCCTCCACCAGCCTTGCCCGCAATAACCGTGTTCTGAAATTATAAAATCAGAAGAATCAGTACCAAAAACAATGCAGTTCCAGAGCACACCTTCAAGTTTGTAAAGTAACCCATTTACAGTTGGCCTACCGGCTCAATGATTGCTTCGCCACTCACTTGCGATAGTGCACTAGACGGAGGTTGCGAAAATCTGGAAAAAATAATGTAGAAATTATATAAGTTTTAATGCTTAATCAAATATACAGTACGGGCTAGATGCATTACAATCATTTCGCTACTATAATACGGGGTAGAAGCCTATGTTTTGCAATGATGCAGACCTGATTGCCCTTGCTTTCTTTTTCTCTTCTTCCAGTGGATTTGTCTTGGAAACTGCTGCAAACCTGGCAAGCCTAGCTTTCTTCTTTGCCTCCTCATCAGCAGAAACAGACTGTACAAGCCCAAACCTGAGAAGAAACATAAAGGATCAAAAACAATTTGCACCAAAAGAGAAATCAAACAAAGCACTTGAAGTTTAGCAAATCCAGTAAAAAGGGGCTTTGATAGTAGTAGAGTGAGACGGCAGAAAATGGAACCTGTCTGCTCTAGCCTTTCTCTTCTGCTGCTCTGATTTCTTCAATGCATCTGAACCATGTGCACTGGAGGCAGTCCCAAATCTGCAAGGAGACAGGTCCACATTTGACAAGTTTGATCAGTATATAGGGATTAAAAGGAAAAGGGGTATCCAAATGCAATCATTTGCACTATAAATTGCAACTGCCGAGGAAAAGTAAATAGACCCAGTTCACGAGAAGGACCAGGAAATAGAAATCAACGCCATCTCATTCTAGGAGCAAAACTAAGTTAGATCTATATAAAGAGTCATATTTGGGCGTAAACATCATGTATGTTGATGTACTAGTAGTAAAAGGTATAACCCAGTGCACAAAGCCCCGCCGTCGCGGGTCTCAGGAGGGTCAGCCTTACAAAGACATGGAGAGGCTATTTTTGGTTTTGAACATGTGACCTCTTAGGTCACAATAGAGCAACTTTACCGTTGAGCCAAGGTATAGTAACACTATAATACCCTTAAAAAAATTAATAATAATAAATAATTATGTAGAATTAACTTGTGTAACAATAAAGTGTATGAAGAACACATTAATTACTGGTCTTAATTATTAAATGTTAATGCACTCCATACTTTTGTATAATTGGTAACCAGTGTTGTTAAAGGCGCGCCTAGGCTCAAGGCTCAGATTTAACGCCTGTTGTCATCCCAGACTCACTGATGTTTACTAGGCGTGCGCCTCAGTTGCGTCTCGTCCTGTTTGTGAAATGCGCCTAGGCGCGCCTCACTGATATTTGTTTAAAAAAATACGATTGTTCTATTTCTTAAGCCAAAAAGGGTACTTTTGACAACTTAATAAACAAAAAAAAAAGCTTAATCATACGATATAAAGAACTATTGTTCAAAAGAATAAAAAAATAAGAAAGCCCAAGAGTCAAAGTGTTAACCAAACAACAATAGAATGAAATTATGAGACGAAGACGAAGCCCTACTTGCTAAGATGAACGACGAAGTCACGTCAGTTCTTTCTTTTCTTTTTTTTTCTCTCATCCTCCTCTAGATCTCTCCTCTCTTCTTATCTTTGTTTACATCTCTCTCTTCATCTAGTTCTCTCATCTCTCTGTCTTTTTTTTTTTGCTTTGTTTTTTCTATTTCTTTTTTCTTATTAACAAATTTTTTTTTTTTTTGTTAACATATTTATTTCTTTTTGTGCTTTGTTTTGTCATTCAAAAAACACATTTTGCTTTACCTTTCGAGAAAACAAATTTGTACTTTGTTTTATGGTTGTTGGATGCTTGTATAGTTGATGGATTTACTTTTTTATATTTGATATTAATTTTTAGAATATTGATATGCCTTATGAGATATGAATGTTATTATGGTAGTTTAAATTTTTAATTGTGCGCCTCACCTCACTCAGGCGCGCGCCTCGCGCCTAAGCTCCAAAGGACCTCTAGCACCTTGGTGCGCCTGGGGCCTTTAATAACTATGTTGGTAACTATTGGATATAATTTAATTGGTCGGAGGGTTAGTCCGAGACTAATCCTATGATGATATGGTTATGTTAGGTATGATCAGGGGCCCTATTGATGATATTGTTCTATGGCCATTCGGCTGAGTGTGCCCTAATTGTGAGGATGTGGTCTGGGACCATCTAGGTCTGCCAGTGTGTTTTTAGTAGTCCATAACTATGCGGCGTGCCCCACCTTGTTGGCTGAGCAAGCCACCAATTCAAGAGGAGCTTGGGTCTCATGTGAGATAAGTGAAAATTAAATTTACTTTGAGATAAGTATACGAGATTAAAGTACCTTATTTGAGAAGTAAGATCAATTTGTTGAAAGATGATTGTGTTTAGCATTTCTTGGTGAGTTTGTGAGCTCACCCCCTTATATTTTTCAGGTGGCGTGATGGAGACATGACAGAGATGGAGATTAGCTCCTTTATGCGTCTGTATTTTCAGTATTTCAGTATTTTCTTATTAAGAACGTTGTAATATTGGGGTTGTAATAGGGATGATGTTAATTTGTGGAATTTTATTTACTTGGTGTTGATGTCATGGATTATTGAGAATGAATAAAATTGTGGGATGAAAATTTAATTCTATATATTGATAAAATGGTTGTTGTGGACGTTTTATGTGAGTGACGCACCAGATTTGAGTACTAGACGAGGGTTTCCAGTGTTCAAATTTGGGGGCCTGACAAACACAATCATAAATATATTCATCGAGCTGAGTAATCAATAACCATAAATCATAATCCAACCTAAACAGAGGAACGTGAAATTAAAATTATAACATAAACGCAAACCTAACCCTATCCCATCTGTATGTTATGAAACCGACATCTGTATAGAGACTATAGAGATACATGTACACATATAGATACAAATGATAGTACCTTTCAGCTCGAGAATTCCGCTTCTCTTCTTCGGATAGCTGTACAGCCATCCCGAACCGCTCGGCTCGGCGGATCTTCTTCTGCATATCGGAAACGAGCGCGTTGTTGTTGCTGTTGTCGTTCGTAGCCGAATCCATCGGAGCCCCGACAGCCGCAGAGTCTTCGACACTCTTCGGTTCGTGGCTGTCCTTGGTCGACTCGTCCTTACTGGCGGTGGACGACGGTGGTTGTTGGAGGGTTGGTGAGGGATCTGTGTTGGGAAGGTGGTCTTCGGTGGGAAGTGTTGGAGGATCTGCGGGTTGGTGTTGATCTAGGGTTTGGATAGGGCTTTCTTCTGTCTGAGTGTTCGTTGGTGTCTCCATTGATCGAAGCCGAAGAGATGAGAACAGACGGAGCGGAGAGACTACGGGCGAGAGAGAGAGTAGTGTGTGTGAGTCGTGTGACGAACCTTTTTTTATCGCGTTGATTCTTTTGTCGTGTCACTGCACCTTCAATAATTCGTACGTGAAGAAAAAAGGAAAATTATACTGCAATATTCGCTTTACACTTTTCCCTTATTTAAAAGTCATAATGTAATAAATAAAATAAATAAATGTAGTTAGTTTTTACCAAGTAACTCCCAAAAAGGTATGGAATTAAATAATAATAATAAAAACTGTTGAATTTTTACAATAGCTTACATAAAAATTTATACTTATTGTTCCTTTGTGTTTCTATGAATTAATTTTGAATAGATACACATTGCAGATATTACAAATTAATGAAATTGTATAATTTAGTCAATTATCTGCAAATCGTTCATTTCCAATCGTAATTTCATTATAATGTTATTTAACTCTAACTAAGGCTAGCACCTCAACGAATTGAATGTCCACAAACACAAATATATAGATCAATATATACAATTATACACACTAATAGACATAAATATATATATATATATATATATATATATGTATATTTACACCTTAACAATAAGTAAGTTGGAATAAAGATGTTTAATTCTAAATTCGCAATGTTAACTCTTGATTAAGAGTTAATTTTTTCTTTTACTATATTTTTCAAACACAATAGAAACTTACTAATATTATTAATTTATTTAGTTTTAAGACAAGAAAATATTTCATCAGAGAAAATCAAATATGGATATAATCTATATAAATATGAAAACAAGGAAAGCATAAAAAAAAAATAAAAATAAAAATAAATGTCTCTCTTCTCCACATATTACATAAGCCATTGGACAACTATGAACCAAATTATTTGCGTCTAACCCATTGTCATTTGTCGTTGCTAAAAAATCGATTGAATATTCACCCAAGCAAACAGCTGAATTTTTTAAAAAATTAATCATCAAACTGCAATATCTTTCAATCACCATAACTAATAATTCTCTCATGCTTGAGCCCACTTCAAGTTAACCTTGCCATAATTTTTTGGGATTTTTATAAATACATGGGCTTAAGGCCCAAATGTTACTTTAAAATTGAAACAAGGTCTTAAAGTTTCAATTATTGGTTTGACCAATGCAATATTTCTCTAAAATGGACTTTACTTTTTACTTTAAACCACACAACTATAAGATCCTTGAATATAGTAAAATTTTCACAATATCGTAATATGGACTTAAAGACTTCTTTGACAAAAGATCTTATATATAAATTAAATTTAACGAAACAGTATAGGCTCTTATACCAAAATTGAGTTGGATCCAACCGGATAGAAGCAAGCAAGATAACATAGAAGTAAAATAACAATTAAATCACATAAATGACTACCGAATCTGATAACGCTCTGATAACGCCCTATAGAAATGCCTGAACACCGGCAAAGAACGAGCCAATAAGCCAACAGTTCGAGTCAACTCACAGAAGAAATTGTTAAATTAAAACTAAGGCTGCTTGTACTGGTTGGATTCAAGAAAATTCTAAGATCTACACTGTCTGGCTAAATAAAATCTATATATTTGATCTTCTGTTGACAGAACTCTTTTGCCCGAAAGTTTTAAAATATGAAATAGGGATAAGAAAATTCTTTGAGTGAAAGCAAACTGGATGATTTATTTCATAAGAAATATATACATGGATACACACGGTTTGTACATGGATACTTGCTCACACAATATTTTACTGAAAAAGAACACTCTAAAATAAAAGAAAACTGAAAGAAGTCACAAAAGAAACACACTGGAAACTGAAAAGGCTTGATGGTTCTGGACTTGATTGCTTTTTTCTCTCGATTCCTTTCTTGAGCAAAGAGGCTCATTGTATAGTAGAAGAGAGGGATGAATCGACGGTTTAACTTGAAGATGTTGCATGGATGGTTGAGATTCAAGGTGTTTTAGAGATAAGATGACATGAATTATTGCTGAACTGTTGATATCATTTTCTGGAGAATTATATTGACTTTTGCTGTTGAGAATCTGCTTTTGGTGGATTTGTTTTTAACTGTACACTGTTGAGAATTTGCCTTTTTACTAGAATTCTTACATATTGGACAAATTTCTGTCGGTAGTGCTATCTGTTGGACTGTCAACTCTTGCTCCTGCATGTCTGCGGGCCAGGTATTCATCAGTACTGTCTGGTGAGTTAGTTTCTTCATTTCTGTAGGCAAGATTGAACTGTTCTAACAACATCTTTTCTTCATTTATTATTTCTTCAACTTCTGGGGATATCTCAATCTCTGGAGGGGACTTAATGACATAAGGAATTCTTACTTTAACAAAAATTTCCATGTTGATATTATGATCATAGAGTCTAAAACCAGGATTTGTTGATAGGCTTTATAGTACACCAAATGGTTAAAGGTAGCTGGTTCTATCTCATTACGAAAGTTATTTACAAAATCAACATGTTGGGTAAGAATTTTGACTTCAGTAGGATCAGAATGAATGTAGATTCGATATTGTCCTAAAATTATAGCTCCATCCTTTACCCATTCTGGGGGAGTACTGTGGATTTGAAGGAGAATTGAATTTTCTGGCATAAAAATTTGGGTTAGTTTCTGTTCGAAGGCAATGGCTTGGTTTAGATGGTTGGGAAAATTACATAAAGAATTTAGATATTCTAAGGGCGTGTCTTTGGGTATAGTGACACTATATATCATTCCTAATTCTGACAGCTTGCTTAAATAACAAATGGTTGTTTTGGTAGAGAAAAAGGGTTTTTATAGCTATTTCAAAAGGAATAAAGAAAATAGGGTCTACATCTAACAAGATAATGGCTATTGGTATATCAGTGCCTGTTCGTATTAATCTTATGAAAGTATAGTTATAGCGGGTTTCTTTGGGTAGACTGTTGTTTCTGAGGTAATTTTGGATATCAACCCATTCCTTAAGCCCATCAGACTTAATTTATTCAAGGATTAGCTCTTTGATGTCTTCAGGAAAGAGCTCAACTTGTTGTCTCAGGATTTCTCTGTATGTGGGAGAAAACATAAGTAATAACTTGGCATACTTGGTTTGAACCTGCAGAAATTGAACATTCTGAAGATTTTCATCTTCATTAGTCCGTTGCTCAGAAATAGTTAGTTCTGTGGCATTTGCTGTCGTCTTTTGATAAGCTAAATTTAACTTTTTATAATGAGATATAAGAGTCTCATGTTCTTGCTGTAAATTCTGATACGCTTTATTTAATGATACGAAATATTCACTTAGTGTTTAAATTTCTGATGAGGGTTCTATCGGGGTTGTTTCTAGAAAACCAAATATTATCTAAAATAAGTTTTTGGTCAGGAAAAAGATTATGTCTAGCACGGAACTGTTGAGCTGGGTTTTGGATAATTAAAAGAGGATTAGAAGTGCCTGGTATAAGACTATATCTATTGTTGCTCTTTGTTTCCATTCCTGCAAAATTTAACAATCAATTAGTAAACAAGATAGAATATCTGCTAAATAATTATCTTTTCCTTTGACATGTTCAAATATAGGTTTAAAACCTCTTCCAGTAATACAGTCAATAAAGGAAATCCATCTCTTAGCAGACATCCGCTGTTGTTTTGCTTTATTTGCAAATTTAACTATATTATCACAATCTTTTCGTATAAGAAATTATTTATCTAAGAATATCTGAAATTTTTCAATAGAGTTGGTTACTCCTAGAATTTTTAGATCTGTTGAGGGTAAAATAGATTATGCTTTATTAAAAGTTTCACTAGTATGGTGACAAATTTGTTCTTCATCTCGAGGAGATCTTTTGTTGGTCTTTGAAGAAGTAATCATGCCCATCCTTGAGCTGATGCATCTGTTTGAATAATTTTATAACTTTTTTCAAGTGCGAGTTATAAAGGTTTTAACTGAGAGACTAAAGATTTCATTTTCTTAACTAACTCTATGTCTTGGGTATTGAAATATTTTTGACCGTGTTATCCTAATTTTGAATATAAAGGTCCTACTAATTGTCCTAATTTTGGAATAAAATTACGACCATAGTTTAATAATCCTAAAAATGTTTGTAACGATTTGGTTTCTTCGAATTTATCTGGAAAGTCTAAAATCTTTTTGACAATGTGAGATTGTAATTCTATTTTTCCATCTTTTATGTATAAACCTAAGAATTCAATAAATTGTTTTTCTAATATCATATTTTTACTACTTATAATGAGTCCTTGTGTTATAAACTCGTCGAATATAAGTTCAAGATATTTTCTATACTCTTCTTTAGTTTGACTGAAGACTAAGATATTGTCGATGTAAACACAACAAAATTTTGAGTGTTTATTAAATATAGTATCCATTTTACGCTGAAATTCTTGTGGCGCATTTTTTAATCCAAAAGGCATAACAAACCACTTATAATGTCCTTCAGGGCATGTGAACGCTGTCCATTCAATTGATTCATCAGCCATACGGATTTGCCAAAATCCTGATTTACAGTCAAATTTAGAAAACCATTTTCTATCTTGAATTCGATTTATTAAAACATCTTTATTAAGGATTTTTTAACTATCATCATAAGTATTATCATTTAATCGTTTATAATTTATAATCATACGAGTCTTTCCTCTTTTTATTTCGGTATGATTTCTAACCATAAAAGCTGGACTCCCATGTTTACTATTACTTTTAGTAATAACAGTTCCTTAATTTGTTTTTGGAATTCTTCTTGATCGTCTAAGGTATGAAGATTATCTTGTGTCTTTATAGTTATAAAATGATTTATTATATTTAATTTTGCTTCAATTTTATTTTTATACCAGTGTTTCTGGGAGTCTTCACCTAGAATCTTGGTAGTTTCAGCTAGTCTTATAAGATTATCAATGTAGGAAAATATTTGGTTCGTTAAGATGACTAAAAAACATTAAGGCTTCAGAAACGTCTTTTAAAAATTCGAATACATCAAATAAATTTTCTGTCGTTTATTCTGTCATAGGTAAAGTATTAACATATGTAATTACTCCTTTGTCTTTTTGAGGAATATAAGGATCTCTAAATGGAATAAATGTTCATTTCTTAAAAAACTATAAACCTGTAGGGGCATACATAAATCCTCCGGTAAGTGAGTTTATAAAATTTAATCCTAAGATAAAATCATAGGTGTTAGGAATATTATTAACTACATAAGTCTGGGGTAAGACAAACTTTTCATTATTAATTAATATAGGAATGTTTTGAACACAATGGGTTATTGGAAGTTTTTTATTATTATACTGGCTCATGTTAACATTATAATTTAACTTTACTAAGGCTTCGTCTGGGACTAATTGTTTTTGAATTATACTTTTAGGTGCTCCAGTATCAAGCATAGCTGAGGTTTGAACTAATTTTTCTCTAAATTCTAATGTTACTGTGAATTGAATTAGACTAGATGGTTTATACATTGAATTTATAGATTCGACTAAAATATCTTCTTGCTTATCTTCATATTTTGTATAGCAATTATGACATAATAAAGTTTTACAATGATTTTCATAGTAATGACCTTTTTTAATAGATGTATTGCACTGTTTACAATTATAAGAATAAAATTGAAAACTAACTAAACTATACTGACATGATGGATTACTTATAGCGTAAACGAAATCTTCTATTGAATGAAGCCATTGTTCAAGGTCTTCATCATTATCAAAGTTGTTATATAAGCTCTCGATACTATATATACTTTCATTATCATCATCAGAGTCATAAATATTTTCTAGTTCATATAATTCATCTATCTGTTCTTCAATATCTTCAAGTATGTTGATATTTTCTTGTATCCTTTTAATAGGATTCAGTTTGTATCGACGAGGGCAACTTGGTTTAATATGTCCTGGATCTCCACAAATAAAATATTTGCAGTGTCTTTCCTTTGTGGGTAAATTGTTTACCTTATTATCCTTGTGTTTGTTGTCGTTTTTATCTTTATTTATTTTTTGCTTTTTATACCAAGGCCGCTTTCTGAATTGCCTAGAGTTAGTTCTGACATAAGGTTTTTTATAACGAAAGTTCTTGTAGGTCTTGCTTTTACGCAGATTATATTTTTTAGGTTTATTGTGCTTATAATTGTAATTTTTCTGAGGCATAAACCCATACTGGAGTGGAAAATCTACTTGTCTATACGTATAATAAAATTGTTTTTTGATTTGTTTAGACTCTTTACGTTGTCGACACTCTGCTTATAACATGTTATACACATGATTAACTATCTCCTATGGTTAGCGTATCGCGTTTAGGATTTTCTAACCATTTTTCCCATATGTTAGTTCCTACGCTTCCGGGTAAGTTCTGAAGATATCGATCAAGTGATGTTTTATCACATGTTTTACCAGTGGCTACAAAATACTCAAAAAACTTATTGGTGTAGTTTTTTATGTATCTAAAATCACAAATCTGTAATAATTCTAAATTACGTAAAGCTTCGTTTTGTTTTATTAAAGTGTCATCTAATAATCTATCTTCACCAACTAATACCTTTTTAATGAGGCTGGTAAAGCCTTGAATGGTAAAATTATCACGTAAGATGGCATAATTATTGGGATAAATTACTTTATAAGCCTGCAACCAATCATGAATTGTTCCTCTTAATAGGGTTTTATAATAGGTTAAGGCTTGAGTTCTATTGTCAAAATTGGTCAAAATAGATTGCCGAATACAATTTTGTTCCCAATTTTCGATTACTTTTGCCCAGTCTTGGGGATCGTGCCTTGCTATGTCTAATATTGTTCCTGATTGTTGTGCTGGTATATTATCATATTGTCTACGATATTGTGTTAATGTGTACATATTTGGTATATTTATATTTTTTACATAAGTTTCACGTGAGGGATTTAATCTTTGTCCAGTAGTAAAGTCATCACTTAGGGTATTACTACCTGAGGTGTTAGTCTTTCTTTGATCACTCATTTCTTGATCGATTGACTGAGAGTCTGATCCTTCTGGTGCTTTCTCTTCTCTATGCTCTATTACATTTAACTCTTCTATTACTGTGCTTAATTCTAATGTTGTATAGAATGATTCAAATCCGACACTTAGAATATTTTTCTTAATATCATCATTATTTCCTTGTCCTAAGTAAATACTTTCGATAAGTTTGTATTTAGGTTCTGGATACTTGTCTTGCAACGCTTCTAATTCTAAATTATCAAAATCGTACATTATTTTATCTAGAATTTCATCTTCTAATCTATCATAAATGACATTTATTTCCTCAAGAGATTCTATCTCTATTAGTGTAGTTAAAAAGTCTTCTTGAGTATCATCAACTAAATTGTTTTGTCTTCTATAATTACTAAACCTTAAGCTAGCATCTCCGCTATTTGAAACATATATCATATTATTTTCGGGAATCTTTTTAGGTGTAGTAGTAAGTTTAGGTAATTTTCATTATGTTCCTTCATCGGTAATACTGCTTACTTTTCTAACTTCTATCATCTGGACATATTTGCTACTAAAAGGTTTAACTATTTCACTAAATTGGGCTTTAAATTTTAAGTTATACTAATTAACTGCCTTTCCCATAAATAAAGTATTAACTAATAGATTTTCAAATTATCCTGTCATATTATATCATTTTGTAGATATAGCTATTGTAATATGTTCACTGAATTCTCTAGTAGTCATCATGTAATTGGGAATACATCCTACTATTGTGGCATTGTCGGCTAAGTCTATTTCGGCGCTGGCTATTTGTACTTGTTGATGGTTATTCCATCGGTCATCATAAATATAAGCAAGTGCTTTAGTTCCGGTTTTCGCTCTGTTTAATCTTACTAATCCTATCATTATGACGCCTAAACGCATTATCATTTAATTATTGGCATGCTTCGGGTGTTATAAGGTCTAAAATAACTTGATTGTTAACTGCACTTATTTTTCTTTCGCTAAAATGATTATATATCTTTATCTGAAAATCTAATAAATTATTAGAATAAATATTTACTTTATTTTTTACCTTCTTCATTCCTTGTTCTATATATTTTTTAGCATCATGTTCATTATCATATAAATCTTCTACTCTCATTATTTCTTTGGCTTTTCTAAGGATAATGGCCATTGTGGTATTTGCTTATGAGGTTGAGGTTGTAGTAAATTTACATGCTTGGCTGTTGTAGGAGAGGACTGGTTATTAGCTGACAATTTTATTTCTTTTATCTTTTCTGATAATTCAGATAATTCTTTAGAAAATTCTCTGAGAATACTTTCTTGTATCACTTCTAATTTCTCTTCAAGTTTATTAATTTTATCTGATAACTGGAGTAATAACTGAATTAAAAAGCTATTTTGTCTAATATGTATATTAGTTGATTGTATGTCTGTTTTAAAGCTTATAAAACCTACGGGTTCTTTTATCAATTTTGTAAAGTTCAGCTAACGCAGTTAAATAATTAGGACTACTGGTGCTCATAAAATTATTGTAATAACCTTTGGATATCGGTTTTAAGGGATTTTAAATAGTCTATGATTATTTTTTGATTTTCAGTAATATTTTTTATATCACTATTAATATCTTTAATGGCGACTAATACTATCTTATTATCTAAATTATTTGGATTAGAATTTTGTACTACTTGTTCTTTAATATAATCTAGATTTTCTTTTAATCGTTTTATAAAAGTATCTAAATTATTAAAGTCAAGTCTATTCATAAACTAAAATTGTTGCCGTCTAACTTCTAAAATATTTTGTATTAATAGAATTATAGATCTAAGTTCTTCAATTCTTCTTTGTAGATTACGTGTTGTGTCTCCTAATTCTAGCGTTATGTAGCAATTCCTAAGTGCTGTTTGACAAAATTCTAAGACTTGAATAAGTTGTTCTAAAATTCTAAGACTTGAATAAGTTGTTCTTTGGGTAAATTGTGTATAAAGTAAACTCCTAGGGGTGAAAATATAAATTTAGCTTAATAAAGGGTTAAAATAAAACTTAGTTCATGTATTTATAAATATGTAAAAACGTTGACTATTGGTAATATACTTACACTAAGACCACTTTACTGTAAAAGTCCCTAAATTTTTTTTCCTCGTATTATTTGTTTAATTTTTTATTCACCAAAAATGTAACCTATTTTTGAAACGACAATAGGACCCTTCACAAGTGGGAACTTGGGTGGGACCAACTAGACAAAAAGACAAATCCATCTCTAGACAGAAAAATTTGACTTCGCCGGACGTTGGACTGTAGTCTTTACGGATAAGATATCTATCAGCCGAGAGAGTGAAAACTCTATGGACGCCTTTCTTTGTATCAATTTCTTTTGAATTTACAAGCCCCTCTCTCTCTCTAACACACATATAAATATATATACACTGAAGTATGGGACTAACTTCTTTCATCCATAACGGCGTTCAAGTTCCTCTGAAATTCGATTCATCCTTGCTTAGGGTTTCACAAACCTCACCGCCATTTCAAGCTCTCAAGTGGTCTAGGTTTCAATTTTCTCACCACCAGCATCACATTCTTTCATTATATGCAGGTATTTTCCCACCCCCTTCTGTCTCATATTTATATAAATATATGTATATATGCACGCATACATTTACATGCATTTGTTTAATTGGAGTTGCAGTTCGACGAGCCCATTGTACACCAATTGCCTGTTCCAGAGGAACTGAACAAGAGGAAGAGTTATCTAACTCAGGTGATAATTTTGTAAAAGTCATTGTACATGAACAATACATGAAATGACTCTGCTAATCGAAAAGAATTGAAATTACATGGATAAGGCGCTGAATTATAATTTTGGAGTCCATTTGATGAATATTAGGTATATTTCGGTTACAATGTTATTGTGAACCAAGATGGAAGAAAAAATTGGTTTGCAAAGCAAGAAATGATTTATGTTTCTGAGTTACGTCAAGAATGATTTATATTTACGGTGTAATTTAATCATAACTTAGGACATGAGCTTTCTGTAACGCTGTGGTGAACATGTTTGCTGTAGTAATTGCTCTAGCGGTTTACTAGAGCAATGCTTCAAAACCAATATTTTTTTGCATTATGTTAATATCAAATGTTGTAATTATTTTGCGGAATATGCATCATATCCTACATTATGTACCAAAATGTTTTAGAAATTATATGGATTGCTGCAGTCTTTTTGAATATAATGTGTTACTTAAATGAATCTTCAGAAGGAGAGACATCTACTTCTCAAGCATATGATGGCATTAGCAATTTTGAGACTTCGAACGCTACATCTTATGTTGGTGATCTAGAAGAAAAAGATCATGCGCCTAAAAGTTATACATCCTCTGTTAGAACCGTTGCCTTATGCGTAAGGACCTCCTAGTCTCCCAGATTATATTTATTTGTATTAGATTGTTGGTTTTATAATACCCCCAACTGAAGTCAATGAAATTGTTTATTGTTTTAGGTATGCACTGCGGTGGCATTTGGTATTGGTTTGGGTTTCAAAGATGGATTTGACAAAGCATCTGAGTTTTTTGCTGGGTATGGAGCATGAATCCTAAATCAGAAAAACATATATATATACTGTATACACACACAAATTACACTTGAGAGGGTCTTGTATTTCATGGCAAGAAAAAAAGGGAAAGAAAAGAAGATTCTCTTTACAGCTTCTTTCTTTCTTTCTTTCTTTCTTTGTCAAAAATCTTTAGACCTGCTTCAAGGTTTCATGAGATAATATAACCGACTTCTTTGCAATAAATGAAATTTCAATTACCACGGGTGATAGAAATTGATAGATAATAAAGAAATTTAATTTTGTAATGTCTAATCTAAGGATATTGCTGCATTTCGGACTATCTCCAAATCCAAATTAGAATGAGGGTGAAAAACAGGAAAGAGAGGAATGGGGTTTCTCCCATTTTTGGCATAGCTGCGTCAGTGGGAGGCTTGCACGATGGCCTATTAGCTCAGTGCTAGAGTGCACCCCTGAAAATTGTGTTGTTGTATGTGGCACTCACCATTTTGAGTTTGCCTGGTTTAAGGAACTCTGAATTTCAATTGATGGCCCAGGCACTCCTTAATTTTTGAGTTTGAATGACCTTCCTTGAATTATTGTTAAGCGTGTTTGTCATAAGGCTATATTGGTAGGTGTCGGGACCTTTTGTGCAAGTTATTTTGGAGCAAGCAGCACAACTTGTTAAGATTAGTTGCAAAATTCTGTTAATATGTATTTTTCTTAACATACCATGTCATGCATCACTTTTGGAGATGAATATCAAGTTTGGATTAACAAGGCTCATACAACTTGAATATGGAAAATAACAACACTGGAGAAAGCTTATGTTTTTTGTTTTTCTTGTTTTTGTTTTTGTTTTTTTGTTTTTCTCTGTAGAGTTCTCTGCATTAGCCACTAACTGATCTTCATTCCTTTTGAGATCCAAGTGAGAAAATCTTATGTAGCTTGTAAATGATATGATTATTTTGGTTTTTGCAATTGAAGCCTCCATTCTTGTTTCTTTGTTTGTTTAGTCATTTTCAGTTCTACACCTAAAAAGTGTAGTGTTAGAATACCTTTTGGAATAATTGTGGAGCGTGACAATGTTTTTGAAGGTTAATTATGTTATCTCTTATTTTTTTAAAAGTGCGATGGTGTTTTTGAAGGACAATTATGTCATATCTTATTCTTTGAAAAAGCAGAGTGCGAATATCATTCCCCCTTTTTATATGCCTTCATGGTTCTTTGACTGGATGGCGCCATGGTCTCACCCTTAAGACAACAAGAAGGTTCAAAAAATGCATTATCCCTCTTCTTGCCCCTCTATTAATGGGTGCCTTGCCACAATTGTGAAGGGGGGAGTATGGTTGAGACTCGAGAGGCATAGCTTAATCCTTCGAGTTATCTCAAGTTTGAGTTAAAACCTTTAATTTTAACATTTTAAATTTTTTATCTTCTGTTCCGTAGTTGATTTTACATTTTGGAGTGTATATTATGCTATGTTTCTGCCTACTCAACCTAAGTTTCATGTTTTGACTTAGGCCAATTTCCATCATGATGGCCTTTAATTATATGTTAGGTACTTACTGGAGCAGAGTTTGTCAGTGGACAATCTATTTGTCTTCGTTTTGATATTCAAGTACTTCAAAGTGCCAATGGCGTATCAGGTGTATTATCACACTTTCATACTAATTAATTAGATTATCATGCAACATTCAAATCCTTCTCTCTCTCTGTTAAATATCAAAACATTAGTGCTGTTATTTGATGTCAAAAGTTTGTTGATGGTTGTTGCTTTTATGTTGGGATATAGAATCGGGTGCTTTCATACGGTATTGCTGGTGCAATAATCTTTCGATTATCATTGATACTTCTTGGTACAGCCACCCTTCAGGTTAGTTACCAATTTGATTTACATACATATATACAATATACATGCATTCATGCACGTACAAAAACACAGAAATGTCCATATATATGAGAAATGGTTATTGGGTAAGGAAAATGACGAGGGCTTCAAACTCATGGATCACAAAAAGAGTGTTTTCCCCATAAAATAGCAAATCTAAAAGGGATATTTATGATTCATGTCCTATTCTGTTTTACTTTTTTCCGTTTTATACTTAAATTTCCTCAATTTGTTTGTTCCTTTCTGAATCTTTTGTCTTTTTGCTATTTAGAGGTTCGAGGCAGTAAACCTATTACTTGCTGCAATACTTCTATATTCGTCATTCAAGGTGCAATTTCTCTTCTAAATGAATGTTAACTACTGGTCATGCAATGACTCTGCTTTTGTTGTCTTTCTTGATGGATTATGTTATAAAGAATACTTAAAGCACATTCCTGCAAATGAGAAGTTGCGTTGAAAGTTATAGTCCATATTCAATGATTGTTATTGTGCATCTCAGCTAATGTCAAAACTTGGCGATCACCTGATGATGTGATTAATTGAGATGCAAAAAATTGAAAGGCCATCCTAGTTTAATTGAGATGCAAAAAATTGAAAGGCCAACCTAGTTGCTGATCAATTTTGCAACTGATACAAAATTGTTGTGTTCTAGTACAACACTTGAATTGTAGCAAATACAACCATTGTCTGCTTAAGCAACAAAACCAATTTGAATTATATTATGAGTGTTTTTCTCTAAAGCATCCATGATACATAGATTAGTAAAGGCATCCATTTTTGAACAACATTTAGATAGAACTATAGAAGTATATGAAGAAATAAAAAAAAGGTTGTAACAGTATAAGCATTAAGCAATTAGGATAGGGGAACCTTTAACTTCTGAAGTTCTATAATGCAATTTCTCATTGGTAGTGCAGATGAGTCCCACAGCAGAATGACATCTTGAGTTTAAAATTAGTTTTCATGCTTGAAAATGCTATATAGCCAGAGAGGTAAAATTAAAACAAAACTGTAGCCTTCGAAATTCAAGATCATGTTATCTAGAGAAGACTATCTAATCACTTTATTGAGTATTAACTAGCTTATTTGATTAGATCACATTACTTGGTAACTAGTGATTCGATTTTGTTTTTTGTATCGGGTTTGAGTAAGGGAGGTTACTCTCTCAAATTAATAAGCAGGACTGATAGGTGGAAGTTGAGGCAGACTATTTTGAAGGAGGAGTGGAGACTATCAAGAAGGACCACAGATGAGTCACTGTCTAGAAATAGTGTGAGACAGCATGACATAGGACTTGCCTAGAGTGATTCTCAGAAGTTAATAGTTATCTTATAATTAGAAAGGATCTACTATATACAAGTGTGCATATGTCAGGGCCATTAGCATTTGTCTTTTGGATGCTCTTTATGCATCATGTGTCATTCTCAATAGCTTGGTCAAGCTGCAACCTGCGACATTATACTCATCTAAGTGTGTGTGTGTGTTGTGCCTCAGGGTTGGGTTCCTGTGAGACATATTACTAGGGTGACTTGGGATCCCACCTTGAGTTGTCCTAAACTTAACCAAGATAAGAAAACCCAAGTATTGCAAAGAGAATTACAGTTTCGTGCTGTTGGAGATGTTATAGTCACCGGCCTTTGCATCATGATCACCGGGGTCTTGATGTACAGCAAACTCAAACTATTACCGCTATGATCACAACATGACGCAGTAATCGTCACAGTTGTTTGGTTCATATCAATTGAAGAGACTGTACACCATGAATGTGGAGATTACAAGCAATTGCTGTCCAGGAGCTCCTTGAGTACCTTTTTGGACCAGGCAAGTTTCAGGGAATTCCTTTTTTTTTTTTTTTTTTTTTTTTTGTATAAAAGCGCTTAGAAGGGGAGCGGAACCCAAAAGAAATACACAAGCCCACAAAAGGCCACTAAGCCTTCAGAGAGGCCAGAAAATCGACAATCTCCTCTAAAGATCTATGATTTCTCCCTGAAACCCAACAAAAAAGATTGGAAAGAATAGAGAACTTAAGCATAGAAATCGACATCTCTTTCCCATCAAAATATCTCCTATTCCTCTCAAGCCATAAACACCACCACACACAGAGAGGCGTAGCCCTCCAAGCATCCTGAATGAGGGCCCCCACATGGCAATAAAAGGACTTGAGTTTCAGAGACACTTAAGTGCCAATAAAAGGACTTGAGGACTTCCTCGAGTTGATAGAGTCAAGGCTAAGGTGTTTCAATTTCCCCGTGCATGTGTCTTAGGAGTAGTTGACATGTGTAGTGCTAGAGGGGTTGACACATGTTTTATCCAGGAGATGTCTTGCCTTATGTCGCTATCAACAATTCACATGGCTCGTCAGGGACCCACATATAATGTTTTAATTTCCTCCGAGTTTTAATTTTTTTATTTTTAGATAAATGATTTGTTCGTGATTTTTAATTTAAGCAATAAGCAATATTTAATGACTTAATATACCTAGAAAATTTGTAAAAGGTATGTGTACTAATGAACTTTTATTATTCATTTCTGTACCTGAGAGATTCCTACCTATTTATGTTTGGCCCTGTTATAACATTCTTTTTCCTTCAATTAACAGAACACCGTACTGCCTGGACAAGCTAATCTATGATTTTGTAATTCCTTCATAAAAGAATGCTTATTTATAAACTCAAGTAAAGTTAGCTTCTGAAATTTTCTCTCACTTGGAACTTAAAGATTAAACATCTAAACTGCTAACTTAGGGCCCGTTTGGATCGCGATATCAAATAGGCGTTATGGTGTGGTATGATATGAAAACAATCGTTTTGGTATTGGTGTATTTTTAGTAGAAATCGTAACCATGTTTGGTAACGACTGTTTTGTTTTTGATAATTCGATAACAAAAATATGAAAGCGCGTTTGGTAATGTCATGCGAATTCTAAATCAATAATAGGATACCTGTTTGGTAAAAACTGTTTTGTTTTTATTTTGAATAATTAAATATATATTAATACAATTATAAGTTCACATGTAATAGTCCTTTTTTATGATTTGAGATAATTTGTTAAAAAAAAAAAAAAACACTCCATTAAGAGTTGGAAAAAAAATTTATGAATAAATTTACATGTATAAATAAGATCATGTGGGATCTTTACGAGGCACAAACATGATTAGTGGCAACCAAATTACAATTCTAACTTTGTAATAATCTTTTTTTTTGATAAGTCTAACTTTGTAATAATCTTTCAATGAGAGGAGATCTTTGCACTCCATTTATCTTTTTCTTTTGGCTTGCATTCCATTCCTTCCAAGTGCGTGAATGAAAATTGTGGTTTGCATTTGTAGTGGTGATTATTCGCCAAAGACCAAACTGCTACTACAATGAGAATAGTGAATTTCCTCCACTCTCTGTAAAAACAATCTCTTCTTATCAATGATTTAAGTTTTAAAACTGAAGATTAAACAAGTTCCTGTAATAGTTTTTCACATTCACATCCTCATTCTTGGGCAAATACACACAAATGGACATTATATCAAAAATGAATATCCGTCCAACGCAAGAATTATGATATGTACAAACCAGAATAACTTCCAACAGGGATGCAAGAAAAACATGAATTATCTACACAATCACTGCTACGACTACAACCTAATTTTTCAATACAGAGGTAATAACAAGCCAATTGCAAGAATTAATAGTGACACTACATACTAACAAGAGTTATACATAATAATGGTAACCCTCAATCCTCCTGTTTGGGATGATCCATGTGTATGTTATGCTGCTGCTGTTGCTCCATCCATATTCCTCAATCCTCCTGTTTGGGCATTCTTACTCTACCAAGCTTCTGTTGACCCATCACTACTACTTTAGAACCTGAAAAAACACACACACATCAATCCTCAGAAGATATTTTAGAGAGCCAAAGTAATTTGAAATATATAATTTACAATTTGCAACATATATAATTTCATTGCAAAATGGTCTCCTTTTTGCTACAAAAGTCTTTGCATGAAAACAATTACTTAGATTGCTACAAATTGTTGTTGACACCTAAATTTAGGAATTCTGCTTCAATTGGATGGGCGCTTCAACCCTTCGGTCTCTTCCTTGGCATGTCTATAAATTTCCTCACAGTTAATACACTAGTGTTCTGCTATAAACAAATTCAACAACTAGCTTAAAAATTTATAAATTTCCTAATTTTGGCCACCTAAAAAGTGTTCTGCTATAAACAAATTCAACCCTCGAGAAGAAACTAGTACAAAATCTGTAGAACAAGCAAAACAATTGAAGAATGGAACCCTCAAGATTCAACTAAAATTGAAAAGATTTGACCTAAAAATTAAACCCTCAAGATTCAACTAAAATTGAAAAGATTTGACCTTGAAAAGAAATTGTTAACAAACCCTAGCTTAAAAATGACGAAGATGGGTGAATATTACCTGGTTGTGAGAGAAAAATGATGAGCAGGTTCTTCTCGCTGGTGGATGTCGGTGGTGGAAGAGATCGGCTTTAGGGAAAGTAAAAGAACTGGTTGTTCTCGCTGGTGGAGGAGCTCGTCAGATCTGCCAGATCGGTGGTGGAGGAGGTTGTGTATGGAGTTAAGGTTTGTGAAGGATAGAAGGAGAGATTGTGTGGCTTTGGTTTAGCTACATTGTATTTCGCCCATGAAATCGCCTCCAAGGAGCTGCGCGAAGAGAGAGAAAATGAGGCTGAAAAATGAGGGTTTTCTGATTTGCGATATTATATACCTGTTATGGCTGCTACAGTATTTTGATACTTGTTATTGATATCAGTTTGGGCTGATATCTCCGCTACAGTGGCGAAAACACCCAATATCACCAAATTGGTGATATGGGATTTGGCCCAAATCTGGTAATGTTTTGACACTATTCAATACCACATCAACCCACTCCAAACATGATATTGGCCCAAAATACAAAACCAAAACATCAAAACAATATCAGATTTGGGCTTCCAAACAGGCCCTTACATTTTGGTTGCTTTGTTTCAGTAGTGTGTTCTTTAAGAAACAACAATTGTCACCTACCAAAAAATAAACTAATGCTTTGTGCGGTTGGAAGGAAATAACTAAACAAACAAGAAATAACTGTTGCATAAATATGAATTATCACTTTTGCCCTACAATAATGAATTATCTACTAAATTACTTTGTTGAAATGCCATAGAGGTTTAAATTGGTAAACCTCCTTCTACCAAACAAAGGAAAGGGTCGCCTCCTTCCCTCCCTTCTCTAGGGATGTCTCTTCCCTCCTTCCTCCTATCTCTTTCCTCCATTTTTCCATCTCTCCTACAAAACGCTGCATAAAAGCAAAGACCCACAAACATCACCTACAAGAATATATATATATATATATATTTAAAAAATGAACAGTTTTCTATTTCTTCATAGTTAATTAACATATTAGTCTTCTGGTGTTGTTTTTTAACACCCGATATGAATGTTTCTTTTTGGTAAGTGGGTTGAATTTCTTCACTTTGACACCTAATATACACGTTGAACACCAATATTCATGTTTGTACATTTATAATGTAGCTACTAATGTCATTCCACTATATAACAAGCTTATCATTTTACTTGAAAATAACTGACATCCGTCATTTTGTGCCATGATGGTGTGTGGCATCATGCCGATGCAGAAATCGATTAGTTGATCACGTGTATTTTTATTGAAAGAATTCAGATATCTATAGCACCCTCATTCTGCTTTTTCAAAGTATTTGACTGTAGATAATTAAATTATGTTGGTTACTGGCTCACTGTAGACTGGGCTTTATGTCTCTGCCAGAGATTGAACCCACTTATAAATGACAAAATAAGAAAGAATTCACAATTTATGAGATATTCCAATTTTCATCTTTGTTGTTTTCATTAATCTTTTTGTGACATTATTTTGTTGTTCATAGCCTTGACAAACATTTTGCTATCCTTGTGTATTGTAATGCTTGAAGGGGTTTTATTTTGTGCTGCTTGGTTCATGAGATTTATTTTAATCAATCTTATTATAGCTGTTTACTGGTGAAGAAGAAGATACTGATCTATCCGACAACTTTATAGTAAAGACATGCCGGAAATTTATCCCTGTTACCTGTAATGTTCTCTCTCTTTACTTTTCCCTTTCTATAAGGGCACTCTGAGTTGTTAATTGCTTTTATTCAACTTTGTTATGGTTGGTTTGATAATTTGGAATTCCTAAATTCAAATAAAGCAGCTATGATTTTTCCAGTCTGTTATACAAAACAAAAGCTTTGAAGTGATCTTTACTCTGCTCTGGCTTGAATCTTTTTTTTTTTTGGATAAGTAAAATTTATTAAAAAAACGCTCAAAAGGAGAGCGAATCCCAGGGACAAACACAAGGCCAAAAACGTCTCAAGCCTTCAAAGAGGCCAAAAAAACAACAATCTCCTCTAAAGATCTAAAATCTTTCCTTGAAACCCAACAAAAAAGGGTGGAAATAATAGAGAACTTAACCATAGAGATAGGCTTTTCCTGTCTATTGAAATATCTCTGATTTCTCTCAAGCCAAATGCACCACCAAATACAAAGAGGCGTAACCCTCCAAGCGTCCCGAATGAGAGCCCCCACAGAAAATCCTCTCCAAGCCTCAATCAACCCTCTAGAGAATCTAGGCATAACCCACGGGATCCCAAACAACCCAAGCATTAACTCCCAGCAGCCCCTAGTCGTGTTGCAATGAAGTAGAAGGAGATCAACGGACTCCTCATTATGGAGGCACAAATAACATCGATAAACCACCACCTAATTCCTCCTCCTCAAATTATTCTGGGTTAAAATCCTACCCAAGACAGAGGTCCAAGCAAAGAAGGTCACCTTGAGGGGAGCCTTGGAGCGCCAAATAGACTTCCAAGGGAAATGGCCTCCAGAGCCAACCGTAAGACACCTGAAGAAGGACCTCACCTCGAAGCGACCCTGAGGGTTAGGATTCCAAAGCCAACAATTAGAATCCCCGGCTGTAATCGTCTGACGGTATAATAACTCCAAAAAATGGGTGGCCTCCTCAATTTCCTAGTCCTGAAAATGCCTCCTAAACTAAACATCCCAAGTCAATCTCCCGTTATCAGGATGATAACAGTCAACCACCAAAGCTTGCCTATGGGAAGCAATCCTGTAGAGCCGTGGGAAAGCGAGCGCAAGAGGAAGCTCCCCACACCAAAGATCCTCCCAAAATCTGATCCTCCTACCATCCCTGATCTGAAAACGAACTTGTTTGCAGAAATCATCCCACCCCTTTCGAATTTCAGTCCAAACCCTCACCCCCCTAGGACCACGCACCACAAGAGAACTCCACCCTCCACCGCTCTCCCCAAATTTGTGCGCAATAACCCTCCTCCAGAGCTAACGCCTCTCCACCCCAAACCTCTAAAGCCATTTCCCAAAGAGAGCCGTATTGAAAGGTAACAACCTCCTAATCCCTAAGCCACCTCTCTGAACTGGACAACACACTTGCTCCCAACGAACCAAGTGAAACTTGAACTCCTCCCCTCCCCCCCCAACCCAAAAAAAAAAAGAAATTGCGCTGCAATCTCTCAATCCTCTCAGCCACAGAGGAAGGAATCTGAAAGAGAGAGATATGAAATAAGTGGGGAGGCAAGAAAGGGTGCTCTTAATCAGTGTGACCTGACCCCCCTTAGAGAGATACTGCTTCTTCCAACCCGCCAACCTCCTCTCAAATCTATCCACAACCGGATCCCAGCTCCCCGCACACCTTGAAGGAGCACCCAGGGGTAACCCTAAGTAAGAAATGGGAAAGGAGCCAGTGCGGCATCCAAGAATCTGGGCAAACCTCTAAATCTCAGGAACCTCTCCAATCGGCACAAAAACACTTTTTCCAACATTCACCTTTAACCCAGAGATAACTTGGAACTAGACCAAGATGCATCTCAGATATCTCAACTGAGACCTAAAGAGCACGGATACGGGACACGGATACGACACGGACACGGCGACACGGCAAATCCAAAAAAATTAGGACACGGCATGGACACGGCGAATAGTGTATATATATATATATATATATATATATATATATATGATGTAGTACTTTAAAAATTACTGAGTGTTATTATTTTTCATCAACCTCATAATGAAAAAAATACACAAATCATAACTCATCTGCTGTAATAGTGTAATGACTGGCCTTAAATATCTATTTGTTTTGTCTAAAATTGCAATTTTTTTTTTTGATAAGTAAAATGTATTAGAAAACGTTCAAAAGGGGAACGCGTCCCAAGCTATACACAAAAAACCGAAACCTATGAACTTAAAGAGCCCAAAAAGTCCACAATATCCTCAATAGAAGAAAAAACTCTCCCCCAACCCTAACAAAAAAGGGTACAAATAATAGAAAATTTCAGCGCTCCAATGGAGGATTCCTTCCGATCAAAAGATCTTCTATTCTGCTCTTTCCAAAGGCTTCACCAAACGCAAAATGGGGTCACCCTTCAGAAGTCTCTAGCCTGAATCCCCACCCATTGGCCCCTCCAGATATCCAGCAACTCCCGAGAAGTTCGAGGCATGACCCAACAGATGCCAAACAAATCAAATATAAGACTCCAACAATTATAGGCAATAGGACTATGCAGCAGAAGGTGATCCACGAACTCCCCATAACACTTGCAAAGACAACACCAATTAACAATGATATGTCTTCTCTTCCTCAAATTGTCTAAAGTCAGAATCTTACTCCAAGCTGCAGTCCACACAAAAAAAGTCACCCTAAGAGGCGCCGTAGAAAGTCACACCGTCTTCCACGGGAAGGTGATACCATGAAAACCAGAGAGGCGCACAAAGAAGGACCGGACCTATCTAAAATTGCATATTAACCTTACAAGTTTAAAATTATTATGTACTGACCACATAAGTGAGTAAAAGTTGTTAAATAACTTCACATATTTATACTTTAACCCAATTTTCTTTTAAAAATTATCTTTTAGATCTCCGAAATTAAGACACGCGTATCGGACACACACCCCTGGCATGTCGGACTCGTGTCCGCCGAGTGTCTGTGCCATGGCCGAAAATTAAAAAAAAAATAAAAAATTCCAGACACGTTTTTTTGTGTGTCCGACACGTGTCGGTATCTGACATGTATCGGACACGGATTCTTCGCCCATTTTGGAGTGTCCGTGCTTCCTAGACTTAGACGCATCAGCATCACAGAGCACCAAGGTATCATCAGCAAACATCAAGTGGGAGATCTCCAACTAACTGGCAGCATCCCTGCCCACCCGAAAGCCTCTCAAAAAACCCAACTCAACCGCCCTCTTAATCAATCTACTAAGGACTGAGAAATGAGCACTAGAGATACAAAACAAAATTCATCTCCTCCAACGCTCCCCAAATCCCATCCTTTCCATCAAGTAAAGGAGAAAGCTCCAGCTCACATGATCGTATGCCTTCTCGATGTCTAACTTGCACAAAACACCCGGAATCCCACCACTCAATTTGGAGTCCACACATTCACCAGCAATAAGAACTGAATCCAAAATCTGACGACCTCCCACAAAAGCATTCTGAGAGTTAGAAATGACACCATCCAAAACCTTCCTCAACCTAGAAGCCAAGACTTTAGCAATCAACTTGTAGAAGCACCCCACCAAGTTAGTAGGGCGAAAATCCCTAACATCCCCCCCTCCCTTTTTCGAAATAAGAGCAATAAACGTGGCATTCAAACTCTTCTCAAAAGAACCCTGAGCATGGAAAGCGTGAAAAGTGCCTATCACCTCCTCTCGGACCACCTCCTAGCACTCCGAAAGAAATCTCATAGAGAAACCATCTGGACTTGGGGCTTTATCCCTGTTATAGCTCTTCACTGCTCACAAAATTTCCTCTTCAAAAAAAGGCTCCTCCAAAACAGAGCACTCCTCACCCGAAATAGAATCAAAATGAAGCCCTGCAAGCAAAGGCCTCCAAGCAGATTCAGTGAACAACAACGAATAGTAATCTGCAATACCCTTACAAATCTCCTCCGCCTTACAAAGCAACACCCCATCCACCTGGATCCTCCCAATATGATTGCCCCTTCTATGGGCATTGGCAAGTCTATGAATTTTTTTGTGTTATTGTCCCCCTCCTTAAGCCACAGAGCTTTAGACTTCTGCCTCCACGAAATCTCCTCCATAACAGCAATCTCAGCAAACTCCACCTGACACTCCACCCTCCTAAGTCTCAAGGAATCTGACAAAATGCCCTGACCCTCCATCCGATCAATGTCAGCAATCTTTGAAAAAACCCGATTCTTCTGCCAAACCAGATTACCGAAAACCTCTTTATTCTAAACCTTAAGATCATTCTTCAACAGATGCAGCTTACATGCGAGAGAATGACTAGGGGAGCCACTCACACTATACCCCTCCCACTAGGATCGAACTCCCTCCAGAAAGCTCTCAGCTCGAAGCCACATATTCTCAAATTTGAAAGGGGATCTTCTACTATGCAACCCATCGTAATCCAACATCAATGGAACATGATAAGATAAGGGGCGAGCTAAGGTGGCCTGAACAAGCTAAGGTGGCCTGAACAACATCCAAGAACTTCTCCTCCCATTCGCTCGACACAAGGAGGAGAACAACCACTAGACCAAGTAAAGGGGCCACCCACCGAAGGCAAATCAATCAACATTGACACATCAATGAACTCCGAGAATGACTCCATGTCAAACGTCCATCTTCCCCCCTTCAACCTCAAAAGGAGAACGGACAACATTGAAGTCCCCTCCAATACACCAAAGCAATGCCCATCTCCTTCGGATCTCTCCCAACTCCTCCCAAAGCAACTGTCAAACACTATCCTCTGTAGGGCCATAAACACCAGAGAAAACCCAACGAAAACCGTCCTCCAAAAAAGAGAGAACGCAAGAAGCAGAGAAAAGCCCCACCTAAAAGTCCCCCAAAGAAACCCAACTGTTATCCCACATTATAAGAATAACCCCCCCCCCCCCCAAAAAAAAAAAAAAAAAAAAAAAAAAAAATGCTTCGCACAATCAAGTCCATCATGGATGCAATCTTAGTTTCTTGCAAACACACAACATGTCCACCCCCTTTACAAATCACCGAATTCACAACTTTTCTTCTCTCCGAGTCATTGAGACCCCGGACGTTCCATGATAAAATTCATAGCTTCATAAGGAAACAGATGAAATAGCACTCCCACTCCTCCTTCCACTGTCCCTCTCCCTGGACCTCCTATTCCTCCTCTCATAAGTAACAACATCAATTGGACTCCGCACCTCCCTCTCCCCGACCCCAGCCTGAAACCCATCCCATCTATCCACCCTATCCAAAAGCTGAGCATTAAGAACTTCATTAAACAATTTCATTGCCTCATCCATCCTACCTTCAAAAGACACTACCAAAAGGGCACCCACCTCCCCACCCTTCTCTCTCAACCACTCTTCTTCCAAACTCTCCTTACCCACACCAGCAGCTGAGTCCTTCAAACACTTCCCCTCTGGTCCAACAATAGCCAAAGGGACAAACAAGTCAAAATCTGAGTCACCCCCTTCCCACTGAACCAAACCCAAATCCCCACTAAAAGAGGAGCCTTTAGCTCCTCCCAACCATCAGAAAAAGGAAGGGCAACAGCAAGTCAACGGCGACACTGCCTCCTCATCAATCACAGAGTCCCTTGAATTACACTGCAAACCCTTCAAGGCCAAATGATCCCGCAGCTCCTTCAGAAAACATTGGCTGACACATCATCCAGCTTTATTTTCACATCTCTTCCCACGCAAACAGTAACTCCCTCGCTACTAAAATCACATGGCCGAGAGGAGCAAAACCCGTTACCGCTGCCTTCACCATGCCGATTCTCACATTCAAGCTCCGGCTCTCCCTCAAAAACCAGGGATAGACATTTAGAAACTGAAGCCACCACTCCCTTTTTCAACCCCAATCTCCTTCGTGGCACCCCACAAGGATGAGTGGAAGAGGGAAAAGAAGGATGAACAAGAGAGAGCCCATGTGAAGAGAATGTAGTTCTAAGTAGTTCTAAGTGGGTTCACAGACATAATTAAGAGTATCATAGATTATTCAAGTGTAGGAATTAACATTAACCTCGCCAAGACAAGCATGTCTTAGTTGTTTTGATCTCTCCAATAAGAATTTTTTATTCCATCCTTGATGAACCTACATATCCTTTGGGCCATACAGATAAAGAATATATCCATTGTAGGTAAATCTTTTTTTTATCTTTTTCGTCCTGCTGGTTCTCTTTATCAATTTCAACATTATGCTTTCATTACGTGTTTTTTTCTTCTTCTTATTATGCGTTTGTTTTAGTTATGGTCTTTTTCAGTTATTGACTATTCTAGCTTCTCTTTTCTTCATGTTCCAAGGCACTAAATTTCTTTATTGCTACTATTTAATTTAATAATTTATTCATTTATTTATTTTCTGCTACTTCCAAGGATTATGGCTTATTGTTAAGCTTGCCATTTGTTAGAGCTATATATATTATTTTAAACTTGTTTGGATTTGTGGTTAAATGGACAGATCAAATTAATGTGGACACAACTTAGTGATAATTGGTGCATAAGAAATTAAGAATGTTTATATCTTATTTTTAGTAGTTTGAAGCTTTATATGTATCATAAATTTTAGAAGGCCATCCCATGGAAGTTACTAACTCATGTTAAACATAGAATAAATCGGGCATTACCCAATGCCCTAGTTGGTAGAGCACCCAGCTCCCCGAGCGGGTGTGCCAGTGTTCAAGCCTTCCCTACCCCTTAGAAAAAAGAAAAAGAAAAAGAAAAAGAAAAAGAAAAAAGAATAAATTAAGAAAAAGTGATAATGAATTTTAATTTTGTATTGAATTTTTTATTTTTATTATTTATTTATTTATTTTTCTTTTCATAATTGGTGTTGTATTGATATTTTTATTATTTATCCACCATGTAGTGAAAGTGTTATAATGATCCTGGTGATACAGTGGCAATTTTTGGGAAGGCTTACTAATTTGGGCTTAAGGAAGACATTTGTAGTTTAACAAAAAAATTTGGGTTTTGTGACTAGTTTTTTGGTCTTAGTCTCTTAGATTCTTGGTACAGCAAGATAGCTTCAATTTGAAAATCTCTTTTTTAGGGTAATGATAATATTAAAAGAGACTCATAAAGAGCTTTTTCACTGTTAGAGGGACTTATGACTGGTGAATTTCTTGATAAATCTATATACTGCTTCCTGTAACCTAGACATTTATCTCCTACTCCCAGAGTAGAACCTAAAACCACATTCATAGGATCACGTAAGTGGGGCAGCAATCTGGAATTTGGAACTGCTTTACTTTTCTTTCTTTTTTAGTTTTCTTTTCTTAAAAAATAAAAAATAAAACACGTGGTAAAAGCCTGTTACTACTAATTATGATTAGTTCTTGGCATAATTAAAATAAAGGTGCTTTTTAGTGGTACAAGTTAACTATTCACTTTGCACTAGACTATGTATTTCTGGTCCAAAATCCTAATCCTCTAATTTTCTTTCTTGATGGTGCAGCTAACTATGAGGGAGATCGATTCATAACATTTCAGGATGGTGTCTGGAAAGTAAGTCCTTTTGAGTTCTTTTTTTTAGTTAATCATGATACTCTCCGCTGATGATTTTAGTTAATCATGATACTCTCCACTGATGATACTACTGCATCAAAGATTTAGCATCCTTAATTTTATAGGTTTTTTAACTGCATAAAGAGGGTTCAAACTTTCTCTTAATCATCACATGGCATCTTTTATATCATAGATATTTGAAGGTAATGACTTTGTTAAATCAATTTTTACTTGATTTCTAACAGGCGTCGAACATTTTGGGCAGGCTACACCTTTACTTCTCACAGTAGCTGTTATTGAGCTCAGTGATATTGCATTTGCTGTGGGTTTCCTTTATCCCTTCTTCACTTCAGGCATATATATATATATATGAAGGTTCAGGGTTTTGCTAGTTAATATGTAATGATAATTGTGATGCTCGTTTATATAGGTTGACTCCATACCAGCAGTTTTTGGTGTTACCCGAGATCCATTCATAGTTTTCACATCTAATCTCTTTGCCATCTTAGGTAAATCTTATTCTCTATTCTATGTCAGCACTTTGATTTCTAGCTGTTCTCGGAGGATCTAATATAATTCTGGCATATAATTGTTGACGTAAAAATAGAGTTGATTCAAATCCTGCCATATGTCACTTTCTCTTTCCTATTTTAATTAGCAAATGTGCATTGGTAAGCAATACTTGTATGATTCCCCATTAATCAAGGGTTCTGGGAGGGCAGTCTGGGTGGAGACATAACTTTTAGCATTATTTGCACAAAGTAACTGTCCTCGATGTCAAACCTGCTTTCTCATTTTTGGCAGTCCAGGCTTTCACCACTGCAACTTTCTTTATAATGATAAAGGCCGTATATTTGGCTCTCAGTGTTTGAGCTGCAGTCAGATTTTGTTTGCTTAATTATGAAATATTTGCAATTTACAGTCCGCTTCTTCTTCTATTAAGTTACATGTCTTGATTAAATCACCAAGGCTTTCTCATCACAAAATGATGTCTAATCCTTTAGTAACATATTTATGTTTTTTTCATTGAAGACTGTTAATTGGCCATATTTCTTTCTAATGTAGGTTTAAGGTCACTATACACGCTCATTTCTGGAAGTATGTCCGAGTTGGAGTACTTACAGGTAAGGGTTTGAATTGCTCTACCTGAATTTATGATACTTGCTCACAATTATGCTGGGTACTGTACTTCTGAGTCTCGGCATACAAGGCCATCATGCATCTTTATTTTCATAAGAGCTTTGTGTTAGTTAACCAGGAAAAGTAGAAGCTATTCATGCTAACCTTGTGTAAGAACTTCAAGGAAACCATTCCCCGTGTGTCTGAAATTTACCACAGTACTGAAACAACATAAAGTTTGTCATCTTATTTCCTTTTACCCCATAAAGACACTGCTTCATGAAAGGGAGTGCTTGATCCTTAATCTAATTACAAATTGGGATGCAATTTCTGATATCTGCAAACAACACAAATTGATATTTTCTGATACTTGCCATGTCATTTTCATAATTATTGTGTGGATTTATAATAATAATCTTGCTTTTCTTGAACAGCCCTCCATTGGTGTTGTTTTGGGCTTTATTGGGTTCAAGATGATCCTAGATTTCTTTGGTGGGTATTTTTCTGAATGCAATCAACTTATTTCCTTTATCCTTATAATTAGATAGAAGAATAACTTCGCATTTCTCAACTCCTCCCGCAGGTTACCATGTATCTACTGAGGTTTCTCTTGGTTTCGTAGCTACAACACTTGGTGCTGGCGTATTGTTGAGTGTAATGAAGAAGTCTGATTAGATGATGAATTTTTTCAAGCACAGGGGTCACTGAAGAATCTGTATCATATTTTATTATTTCAAAATTTTTTATTTGGGAATTATATTTATTCATGATTAGTTTGTTCTGGATAATTATTAGTATGAAGATATTATTTTTAATTGTATCTTTGTAGTTACTAGCTAGGCCACCCAAAAAATAAAAATAAAAATAAAATTATGGGTCCGTTATGGATTATATGTTTTTATTTCTATATATAAATATATTTTTCTATGGAGGCTTAGAAATTTGTAGTCTATTTGAAAATTCAATTCCCATGCCGTCTACTACTATTGACTTCAAATTTTAAAAATTGAGAAAATAAAGTAAGGTACAAACCAAGAGAGCAAGAAGGAAAATCACAAGAGGGTGTTGTATTGGTGGAGTTAGGAGGGAAAGAGACTTGAGAGAGGAAAGGAAAATGGAGCCCTTAACCCTGCTGTCTTTTCAAAAAAGGGGTAAAATTGATGGAAATGAGAAGTGATTGACGTTGTCGGTTTTGCCCTTATTTCACATTTTGTCATCTATTCATATAATAAAATATTAAATTTATGTTAAATATAAATAGAAAATTATATGGAAGAGTCTAGGGGACAAAAGAGGCTACAAAAACAAATCAAACCAACAGACGGCATCAGGTTTCTCCACAAACAAGAAGGAAGTAGATGTATGCAAACAAAACAGAGCAGGGCTTACTTCAGTATTTTAAACCAGATATTTTGTTAAATTGTGCTGATTGTTAGTAGATTCTTTTTTATTTTTTTGGGGTGAATGAGTTGTTTTTCATATAATAAAAAAGAGGAATTGGTTGATTGTTGTGGAGGTATAAGAAAATTATGGAGGAGGGTGTGAGACAATGAGAGGCTATTTTAGCAAGATGACAAGTAGAAGGGGGTGTATATATGCATATGGATCAACGTCGACATCGACATCATCACCTGATTATTTGGTAACTTCTCACGAATTCACTATAAAAACCTTCGATCCCCACTTGAAAACACACAATCAACTATTCAAATTCTCTACAACAGTAGTAATGGCCACACCGTAGGTTCTCATATTTTTGTATTCTAAATATATATATATACACACACATACATATCCGTTTATGTATGTCTGCCTCTATATGATCATGTATGTATGTATATTATATATATTTATATAGTTTGATTGTATTTGTACTTTTGATTTTACAGGAGCGTGCAAGAGGTTCTTCCCACTCCACTGAATTCTACTTCTGAACAACCTCCCCTCTTTGATGGAACTACAAGGTTCATTCTCTCTTTCTCTATTTTCTTGATCATTATTGAATTGGGTTTTTCACAAATTTGGTATGCTTCAAGAATTTGGTTTATATTTTTACATAATTAATCTCACCATCAAAAATTCAAAATTAGTTTAATTTTCTTTCAAAGGTTGTACACCTGTTACAAATGCCCATTTGCACAACGCGTGTGGATCATCCGTAACTATAAGGTTTCTTTTTCTTCTTTTTCATTACTCTGTTCCTTAATCAACTTGTTACAAAATGGAATTGTTATATTAAAAGTTATTTTTCTTGGAGTTTCCTTTATATTGTTAATCGAATTGGTACCAAATGGGATTGTTTAATTAATTTAATTTGCTTCAAATCACATGCAGGGATTACAAGACAAAATCAAATTGGTCGGACTTGACCTTCCAAACAGACCTGATTGGTACAAAGAGAAAGTGTACCCTGCAAATAAGGTAATACTACCTCTCTAACACAATATGCTTCTGTCCGACGTTCCTTACATTTCATGGTTTTTATATTTTTCAATGTCTTATATTTATTGGCAAAACATATTGATAGCCCAAACAATTATTTAAGTGTGCATAAAGTGATTGGTAAAAAAAAAAGGAATTAATTCTAGATGGTGAACATAAGGGTGTGCTTAGTAACATTTTCGTTATCTGTTTTTTGCCGTCTAAGGAAAGCAGAAACATGATTTTGCTTTTCTTTTATTAACACTTTTGTTGCCACAATTTTGAAAGCAAAAAAACAATAACAATGTTTAATAATACATATTTGATATAAGATGTACCCAATATTTTTTAATTTTTAATTTTTCCATTAGTACCAGAAAAACATAAAATATGGTCAATGTATGCAATTCAACTATTTCACAAACATGATAATAAAATTCAATTTTTAATTTAAAATCACAAATCCTAATCATACCCAATACATAAGTACAAAATAAGATATAATAAGACAAAAACTCTCAGCAATTGTGTACATAAATACATGTATATGCATCATGAATACATTTATTATGTGATATATAATATATAACATATACTATTTTATAATGAATCAAAAATGTTAAAATGAATATATTTTACATATAATAAAATATATAATGTATTATAGTTTTATAAATTAATTATAATTTAATATTTACATATAATATAATATAATGTAGGTATGGCATATAATAATTTAATATTTCCTCCTCCTCCTTGGAACACCATCTTTTAGGCATCATTGACCTCTTCCGGACATCATTCTCAATAGCTAATAAACGTAGCCATTCTTGTTCATTATTTAATTTTATATTTTTTAGGTTCCATCGTTGGAACACAATGGCAAAATCATTGGAGAGAGTCTAGATTTGATCAAATATGTCAACAGTAACTTTGAAGGGCCTGCACTTCTACCCGAAGTAAGATTCAAATATTTGTTAGTCATTTTGATCTCTCTATCACTTCTTCCCCTCACCCCGAAAAAAAAAAAAAAAGGGAAAAAAGAAAATTAACACAAGTAATGATGTAAAATGTTGAAGGATGCTGCTAAACAGAAGTTTGCTGAAGAGTTGTTATCCCACACTGATACATTCACGAAGGAGGTGTATGCGTCATTAATTAAAGGAGACGAGCCAGTGAAAGAAGTCGGTAAGAATTTAGAATTGCCAAGTTATGGGATCTACCGTTGAAGAAATGATAATACTTCTGTATACAAACTTAACGAGACGGTGTAACCTGTGTCAGGTCCAAATTTTGATTACACTGAAACTGCTCTTCAAAAATTTGATGATGGACCTTTCTTCCTTGGCCAATTCAGTCTGGTATGTGACCTGCACTCTTTTTTCTTTTGAATAAGAGGTATGTGATGACCTTTTTTTTCATGCATGTTTTTATCACTCTCTTGACAATGTTGTGCTTGCGAGTGCTCTTGTCAACCAATTAAAAATCCATTTTTTTTTTTTTCATGCGAAAATTGAATGATACATATTATTTCTTAATACAGAGAAAGATAATGTTGTTCGACACATTTGGCTCTTAATATAGAAACGGATAAAGAGAGCTTGTTTTGGCACATGCAGATCAATGCGTGCATTCATGTGGTGGTTGATGATTCTTGTATGATTCACGAGTAAAATTTGTGATCTTCAGGTGGACATAGCCTATGCCCCGTTTATCGAAAGGTTTCATGTGTTCTTGCAAGATGTGTGGAAGTATGACATAACTGCAGGCAGGCCTAAACTGGCGACATGGATCGAGGTGTGTTAAAAATCCTGTTATATTTTTATTCCGGAATTTGAAATCAAACTATAGCAGAACTAGGAACGGAGAGCTTCCCTCCTTCCCTTTTCTGGCCATTATTGGAAAAGCTCATCGCGTAGCATGTCAAATGCCTCTCCATCCCATCAACTTACAGAATCCTAGGCCGTGCCAAAAATTTATCAAATTGTCTCTTGATTTCTTCCATCTACCCTCTCATGAAAGCTGAAGGTTGTATCATTGTGTGCCCGGGAATATGCCTTTTTAATACACTTTTTGTGAGCATATATAGTACTGTTAGTGAATGCGGTTCCTATGCTAACAAAGATTGTTGGTACTTAATAACAATGTTTGTGACCCATGGATGGATCGCTGTGCAGGAGATGAATAAGATTGATGCTTACAAGCAAACAAAAACTGATCCCAAGGAGCTTGTTGAGTCCTACAATAAGCTGTTTCCGGTAAACCCCACATTCACTATTAATAAAATAACCACCACCCCCTTTGGATTTTCTTTGCTTGTGATATAGTTAGAAGTGCTTTATCTATCAAATTTATCATATCTGCAGGTCTTGCGGGCCCAGCAGTGAATGTTTTGGCGATGTTCTTTTAAGTAATACTAAATAAGTTGCGATGCTCGAGTGTGTAAGAAGTTGGCTCTGGTGCCTTCTAAAGTATCAGGTCTAATATTTGAATAAATCTTGGGTGCAAACAATTTCTTAAGAGGCGGTGTATGAGTGAAAAAAAAAAAAGAAAAAAAAAAAAGGTGAATAAGCTGCTTTATGGGTAAGCAGAAGTGTATATATGTGTAAACACGAGACATGTGAGGCAGGGGTACAGATTATATAGGTTTTGGATGGCGTGTGTGTGTAGCACAATGCCCTTGGTGTTTCCTAATATGTTTAAATTTGTATTAGGGAGACAATATTGGCACTCTTGTCTTCTAAAATTGCACTGCACTTGAATTTTTCTTTCACAAGAGAGAATTTATTCAATAAGGAACCTTTTTTTGGGTCCTCTATTTCTTTTTTATTATTGCTCGTCAAAATAAAGAATTTTTTTGATTATTTTTTTTGAAGTGTTGTGTCAAACTTTATTTTATAAGTAATAGAATCCTTGTACAAGGGAATCAGTAAAAGAATTTGATTCAAGTAGGAGTAAAAATTTCATATTTTGTTTGTGGAGGGCGTTTTGCTTGTTTCAAATTCAAACTCATTGTTTGAACACAAACTTCACTTTTGCACAATCTCTAATCCTTAATGACGTGGCACCATCATTCCTCGAGCTTTTTAACACATGACCAAATTAGAAAGTTGACGTGCAAATGATATTCTTGAAAAAAATATTCAATTATCACCATTAAAGTGACATCTCATTTTCCAAATCAACTAATGTCGAGCTGCCAAATTAAATTACTGTTTTAAGGTAAATAATGTGAAATCAAATTCATAATTTTTATATCATCAAACAAACCATCAACAGTTGGTTACATACACTTAGAAGCCGACATCGGCAAAAAAAAAAAAAAAAAAAAAAGGAAAGTCATATCAAAAATTTTAATGAAGGTATTGTTGAATCTTTTATCTTGAATTTAATAGCATCACACTTCGTTTTTTGTGGAAATAAGATATGGACAATACTTGGATCTATTCTATAGAGATAAAATTTGTCCAAACTTAAGTGATACGGTTCAGCAATATATAGATACTTGTTTAAAATTAAAATACTGATATGGACAATACTTGAATCTGTTTTATGTAGGTAAAATTTGTCCCACTTAAGTGATATGGCCCAATAATATATAAATACTTGTTTAAAATTAAAATAATTAAAAGTGGGTCAAACCCGTATTTTATGAGTTAAAATAATTAAAATCTGTTCCATGTGTGAATAGATTTCTTAGAAGACTTTGGGTTAAAAATAAATTTAATTATTTAAAGAAAAATTTAAATATTATATAATTTTTAAACGGGTAATTTATAGTGACACGGTTGAGATTTAAGTTTATTATATATTTTTTGAACAATGACACTTAAATTTAATAAAGTAAATGTGCTTCTCGTGAATCTTGTAATTCTCGCTGCAGTCGTCAAATCTCCGGTGATTCTTAGAGTATCATAATTAGCTAATTTTTTATAACAACATATTCTAAATTAATAAACCATTAATATCACCACCACCACCACTTGAATGGAAATGAACAAAGAAACATCTATTCAATTTTTTCCTTTTAATATTTTCGAGTCAAATTGATATTTATATGAGTTGTAATGAATTATCTAATAGAATATTTTTAATTAATTATTTATACAAAAATACAATCAAGTGGATACAAATTATTTAGTTTTCTACCATCTCATATTTACCCATTTTTTATTTCCCGTGGATTTTAATGCGTCAAAATGCAACAGATTTTATCGCAGAGGAAGCATATGTTGTCATCCAGTCGCTGATCCTACCATTTTTTCAGGGGTGATTTGCAGATGTTATGAACAGTTTAACATTCCTTTTGTAATATTCAGAATCTTTCGTGGGACAAGTACAGAAAATACCTCTAAATTATAATTGGCAAAATATTTTTACTCCCTATTTTAAAAAGTGTGTAAAAAATATATTTTCGCATAAAGAAATCTGACATAAATAGTGTTGTAATACCCGTGTTGCCCTTTTATTTTTTCAAAAATGCCCAAAAAGGTATATATGCTACTAATTTTATAATATATGGGTGTTATGCGCACATTACCTTTTATATACATATATATATATATATATTTTTTTTTTTTTTTCAAACTTTTTTCTTTATATATCTCTAAACTTTTTCCTTTTTTTTTTTTTTTTTTTTTTAAACTTTGAAAGTTTGTAAATTAAGGATTTGAATTTTTTTAGATTTCAGTTTACTATTTTCTATTAAATTTTTCATCCTTTGTTTTTTTCACCAACACTATTAAACAAACAAACAAATAAACAAAAAATTCTCAATACCAGTGTGCATTGGTTTTGGAGTTTGGAGTAGATTTGTTTTCTTTAGTTTGCACTTTATTTTCATTTTCTATTTTTATCTTCACTTTCTTTTATACTTTTATTTTTATTTTTATTTTCTATTTTCTATTTTTATCTTTACTTGTCTATTACCGGCGTCATCCAATAATATCATTTTTGGTCATTTTATAAAATTATTTATTTTTATATATTTTATAAAATTATTTAATAAGGGTAATTTAGTTAAATTAGAGTTTAAATTTGTCAGAGGGATCTACTTGCACCAAATTAAAACTTTAGGGGTTTTTTTTTACACGCGAGGAGTGTCCTCCAATAGTGTTTTTTTTACACGTGAGGAGCATCCTCCAATAGTATTCTTTTCGGTCATTTTACAAAATTTTATATTTTATAAAATAGTTTAATAAGGTAATTTAATCAAATTAAGATTTAAATTTGTCAGAGGGATCTGTTTGCACCAAATTGAAACTTGTCCAAATGGGCCTAAACGAATTCATATTCATGAGTTTATACAAGCCGAACTCAACATTGTTCGAATCCCACCCTTAGTGAGGCGAGCTCGAATTGTTAATGAATATCTCGATTTATCTGTAACTTTAGTCACGCATTCACTTTGTTCCTACGGGGACTTATACCCTCTATTTTTTACTTGAGGGTAATAAAGTCCTACTTGGCTAAGTTCTTGATGGGATGTGATATATATATATATATATATATATATATATTTATAGTACTTGAAGCATTTTGTATAAAGGATAAATTATGATGTGACATTTTTTTTATAGTAGTTGAAGCAAATTATGTAAAGAATAAATTACAATGACTCCAAGTTAGGATAAATTATATACGAGTAGGTATTTATGTCAAAATTAAAGAGTAAAATAGAAAATAAAGCACATAAGTATACACACACAAAGCGTACACACATAAAGCCTGAAGGGTTATATCATTTTCATTATATTCTTTCTTAAAATTATTTATAATGAAATCTCTATTTATAAGTGAAAGAATAAAAAGAAAAATATGAAAAATACATTAATAGATGATTTATAAAATCAATTCTATAAATTACTAAGATTTTAACTTCAGTGTCTAACGTGAAACTAAGTATGAAATTGTTAAAAGTCTGAAACGAATTGCAAAAATCTGAGGTGATTTGATCAGAAAATTTGAGACAAGTGAATTTATAAATGGGAGAATATGATATGATAAATTTATTCTGGTACGATGTTCCAATATATAAACAATCACAAGAGAGAATATAATAACGTAATCTAAGCTTTGAGTTTTGCGTGTACAATTCTGGCCCCAATTGGTCTCGACGCTGGCTTTTCTGTTTATGGATAACCATTAAATTGTTCTTCCCGAGACGTCCCGAGACTCCACGGATAATTCTAGAGATAAGTGGGTTCGTGGGGCTGACTGATAAAGGTGGGGTTTGGTCGGTGGGACATTTATCCCAATTCTGGCGCCAAAATTGCAACACGTGGGAGATGTCTATATTTAAAAATAAATTTTTTTAAGAGAATATGTAATTAATATATTATTATTTTTTTAAATTATTAAATTATTTTTTTTAATTTAAATATATATAATTATAAAGTTTGAAATTTTTTTAAAAAATAAAAAGATAATGATGAAAACATATAGAAAAGATGTTTTGACTTTTTAAAAAGGAGAATTAATTTGGGATATGTAAAAAGATAAAAATAAATAAATATTACAAAATAGAGAGATTTAAAAAAAATAATTAATTTGAGACATGTAAAAAAAAAAAAAAAAAGACAACTACTATGAAATGGAGGGGGCATTGAGTTTGGTCATTTGTGTACCGTGTTTATTGCTTGAAGAACAAAAGAACCAAACAGGCCCAAAGGCACAGGTGTAGCCCAAGCCGTAGGATCGACGTCACCATCGACATCATCACTTGAGTTAAGAATTTGGTAGACAAATAGAGGAATAGGATACCAATGATGAATCTAGACTCTCTTCTAGTTTTGTGCCGTTCATTTCGTCACTGCTCACGAATCCACACAGTCGTCGATTTCACTATAAAAACCTTCGATTCCCCACTTGAAACACACAAGCAACCATCTATTCAAATCTCACAACGACACTAGCAATGGCGGAGGTTCTTCCCACTCCTCTCAATTCCTCTTCTACCCAACCACCTCCCCTCTTTGACGGAACTACTAGGTTTAATTTCTCTCTCTCTGTTTATTTTCTTCATTATTATTAATTTTATTTATTTATTTATTTTTACTCACAAATCAAAAATGGGTTTGATATTCTTTTGAAGGTTGTATACCTCTTACGTATGCCCATTTGCGCACCGCGTGTGGATCACCCGTAACTATAAGGTTTGCTTGTTCCTCTTTTGAATCACTCTTCTCCTGTTTGTTGTTGTTGTGTTAAATTACAGAGTGATAGAATAATATATATATATTTTTGGAGTTTTATGCAGTTAATTATGTGTGTCTGTATGGCTAATACCATTTCCTTACGATTATGATTTGGAGTCTCGAAAGTCGCACAATTCTGATTGATTTATATGAGGGGGGCTGATTTCATCAATGTTTGTGAGATCATCTGCTCCACCCACATATATCAATCGGATCTGTTCTATTAACGGACTTTTTATCATTCGTTTATATTGCCTGATTTGAATTAAATTAAGTTAATTTGCTTTGAATTACTTGCAGGGATTACAAGACAAAATCAAATTGGTTCCACTTGACCTTGCGGATAGACCTGCTTGGTACAAAGAGAAAGTGTACCCTGAAAATAAGGTACTATATACTACATCTCTTAACACAATATGTTTCTCTGTTTCACATTCAATAACGTACAAATTATTTAGTACTTCTCGGTGGTTTATGTTTTCTACCATCTCATATTTGTTGCAAAAGATTGTATCATTTCTATCCTTCCCAACATCAAAGTTTGACAGCATGAAAACTAGCTAGTGAGTAGTGTGCCCCTTTTTTGGGATGATTCAGTCTTTATGAATTAACTCAAATAATATTATGAGAAACTTTCCCATCAAAAAAAATATCTTATTGAAGTTAGTAATCGAGTGTTAGCTGCAATTAAAAAGTTCAATATCATTCTCAAATGCTATCGGCAGTTCACCTAATTGATTATTTTTCAATTCTTGTTCATTATTGAGGTTTTTATTTTTAAGGTGCCAGCGTTAGAACACAATGGCAAAATCATTGGAGAGAGTCTAGATCTGATTAAATACCTTGACAGTAACTTTGAAGGTCCTGCACTTCTACCCGATGTAAGATTCAAATTTTTTGGTACCCCCAACCCAAAAAAAAAGAAAAAAGAAAAATTACTTGACACGGGTAATAATGTAAAATGTTTTAGGATCCTGCTAAACGGAAGTTTGCCGAAGAGTTGTTATCCTACACTGATACATTCAATAAGGTGGTATTTACTTCATTTAAAGGCGACCCAGTGAAAGAAGTTGGTAAGTATTTAGAGTTGCCAAGTTATTGGATCTATCGTGGAATAAATGATAATTCTTCTATATACAAAA